CAAAATAACCCCTGGAATCCACCCAGGTCAGAGACGATGGGAACTTGAACCAAGGAGTAGCAGTAGAGCTGGAAAGAAGTGGTAGGAGTTTAGGTGGAGCGTAAAGGCAGGACCAACAGAATTTCCTGATGGGTTGAAGTGAAATCTAAGGGAAGGAGGAGTCAAAATGGACTCCAAATGGGGTGGATGGAGCTACCGTCAACTGGGAGAGGCTGAAAGAGGAGCAGGGTGCAGGAAAGATCAGGACTTCAAGTTTGGATGTGTGCTTCCATTAGCTTTCATCAGAACATCTTAGGATTCTGAAAAGGAGACCTTGGCTTCCAGGTGCTTTGCTACTTGGAGGATAAGGGGGAAATGTCCAGAGTGGGAGAAGACAAATAACACTGGTACCAAATGGTTGAGCCCTTTCGTGGAGCCAGACATTGTGCTGGGACTTCCCAGTAGTGACCTCCCTGATCCTCACAATGGCCCTGCCATGCAGATATCGCTATTATCCCAGCGTTATAGATGAGCACCCAACCATGCAGAGATGAAGACCCCTAGGCCAGGGTCACCCAAATTGTAAGTGGCACAGCCAGAGTTTGAACCCAGATCTGCCTGACTCGGAGCCCACACTTTTACCCCAGGAAGCCCCAGGAGGAGTCAGAAGATTCATTGAGCTGATGCACTTAAGCTCAATCTTTACTTTTTTAATATTTATTTTTATGTTATTTATTGAGCTGTTCCAGGTCTTAGTTGCGACATGCAGCATCTTTACTTGCAGGATGCAAACTCCTAGTTGCAGCATGTGGGATCTAGTCCCCTGACCAGGGATCACACCCAGGCCCCCTGCATTGGGAGCTTGGAGTCTTATCCACTGGACCACCAGGGAAATCCCTAAGTTCGATCTTGAAAGACAGGGTTGGTAAAAAAGGAGACAGTGGATCGAGCAAACACAAGATGAATTTCCAATTTCTTGTCCTTACTACAGGGTCCTGTGTGGCCTGGTCCCTGCCACCCTCTGCAGCCTCACCTCCAGCCACTTGCTCATGAAGCTCCGCTGGCCTGATTTTGAGCTCTTCCCCCCACACAATTCCCACTATTGGAAAAGCTCCCTCCTGTCTCTTGTCCTGGCATTCCTACACATGTCTAGGGGTTCAGCTCCAATGTCATTTCCTCCAAGAAGCCTTCTCTGATACTCCTCTCTGCCATCTAGAGCTAGATTTGTGGCATCTTCTACACTTGTGGAGAAAAGGGAACCCTCCTGTGCTGTTAGGAGGAATATAAATTGGTGAAGCCACTATGGAGAACAGTATGGAGTTTCCTTAGAAAGCTAAAAATAGAGTTACCATATGATCCAGCAATCCCACTCTTGGGCATATAGTCAGAGAAAACCATAATTCAGAAAGATACATGCACCCCAGTGTTCACAGCGGCACTATTTATAACAGCCAAGACATGGAAACAACTTAAGTGTCTGCCCATTGATAGATGAATGGATAAAGGCAAAACAGAATACTACTAGGGCATTAAAAAAGAAGGAAATAATGCCATTTGCATTTGCAGTAAGGTGGATTATCATACTAGAGATTATCATACTAACTGAAGTAAGTAGCCCTTAAGACAATTCTCATAATTATTGTGCAACTGTATGTTCAATATTTGCTTCTCCCATCAGACCCGTGCTGTCCAATAGAACCTTCTGCAGTTCCAAAAAGTGCTCTGGGCCCAGGCTGTCACAGTGGGGCTACAGCAGCCACTAGCCACATGCAGCTTCTAGGCACTTGAAATGCAACCAATGCAACAAAGGAATTGATTTTTCGAACATGACCTATTTTACCTATAAATCATATTTTATAACGTGTGTGCATATGTCACTTCAGTCATGTCCGACTCTTCGTGCCCCTATGGACTGTAACCCTCCAGGCTCCTCTGTCCATGGGATTCTCCAGGCAAGAATACTGGAGTGGGTTGCCATGCCCTTCTCCAGGGGATCTTTCTGACCCAGGGATTGAACCCTTGTCTCTTGTGTCTCCTGCGTTGGCAGGCACATTCTTTACCATTAGCACCACTTGGGAAGCCCATTGCATATTATACACGGACATTATTTCATATACCATATTTCATATATAATTTAAGTTTAAATAGCCACATGAGGCTAGTGGCTACTGTATCGGACACTGAAGCTCTAGCTGTGAGCTCCTTGAAGGCAAAGACCATGTATCTCATTTGGTTATAGAATTCCCTGATTCAGGATGATGCTCAGGAAAACTGTTGAATGAATGAATGAATCAATGAATGGATGAACCAACCAATCAATGTAGTCTGCATAATTTGTTTTCGTGAAAATCATCCTAGAAAGGAGAGACCCAGGAAAATCTGACTTGCACAAGATCTCACAATAAGGCAGAACTAGATACAAAATCCGGCCTTCTGAATCTCCCGTACATAGTGCTGTGCCTGAGTGGACAGCAGGTGACAGGTAGAGGTTGTCTGTGGTCTCACACAAGCCATCGTGGAGCTGTTCGTGAAGGTACCTCCAAGTCCTGGGCAGGACCATTTCTTAGACATCCTCACCCCCTTCCCCCTCCCCTGACCCTGTAAACAACAACTTGTGGCTTGTAATCTATTAACACTCGGCTTCCCGTGAGACAGCCTGTTCCAAGGTCCACTCTTGCCAATCCTCCACAAGGCACTCTGATTTTTAAAAAAACCCATATTTCTCTCAGGCAGTCTGTTGCTGGCAGTCCATGAATAATATACACAGGGTGTGGTTTAAAAAAACACCTATGTCGTGATGTGAATCCACTCAGATTTACACAGTCGTTCCTTTTATTTTACCTTTTTTTTTTTTTTTAAATAAACAAAGGTTAACATGTTTCAGGGCTAATTTTGACCTCGTTCAAATGTAATTTGGGGGTTGCGGATTACATTCTGGGGGAATCCAGCAGAAAGAGCCTACAGATTTTGTTTTTACAAACTTTTTTCAGATATCATCATAATCATAATTTTATAAATTATTTTTCAGGTGTTCATATGTATCAACATCTCTATATCTGCCAGGCATTTGGTACACATGATCTCACATGATCTTCCCAATAAGCCTATGAATCAAGTACTATTATGATTCCCATTTTATGGCTAAGGAAATTGAGTTTCAGAAAGGTTAAGTCATTTGCTCAAAGTCACACAGCCAGGAAGTGGCAAAGTAGGGATTTGAAGCTAGTCTGTCTTATTCAAGAGCCAGTGCTCTTAGCTAGCACACAATGTGGCCTCTCTAATGGACATGACATGTATTTATGTGTGTAAAAATCAGGAAAATAATCAAGAAACTTAACACTGGGGCTTGGGAAGAGAGAGACTTACTTTTATTCTTGTGCTTCTTTTTGGACTTTATTCTATGTATATACTGTAATTAGCATAAAAACTAAATTAATTTAAGCTTAAGTAAAATCCTCTTATTAGGTTTTACTTCTTTCTAATGAAGGAAGGACTTGTCACTCCAGTGTCATGTCTATCTATTAGTGGATTAAATATACATGAATCTTTGAGTCATTTGCAAAGTTCACATGCCCTGACAGCATTTGAAAATTTATCCCAGTAAAACTGCAGTTTCAACATGTAGCCTTATCCTGAATTCCAAATTTCATGTTTTAGTTTCTGGTTTATTTTTTATTTTGAGGTAATAGGTTGGTTTTTAAACATGATATTTATTTTCAATGAACGTGGTATGTTTTCCTTGAGAGATCTGCACTCAGATACACACATTTTTATGGATTTATAGATCGACTTTGGATATTACAACTGGGCATCTTTCAGCATTTGTGAAATAATGCCGTGTTACATAAGACAGGCCATTTGCAGATCAATTAATAAAAGCTTAAAAGTAAACATTTCATTAATTAAAAATTTTAATGCAAATTAATTTTACACTGATTGAGAAGTAGACATCTCAATACCCTTCAGTACTCAGAGCCTCAGAGATGTAGCAGTCACACTAAAAGTCACTTGGGAGAATTCCTCTGTGGTTTATAGAGAGAGAGAGAAAAAAAAAAACATCTAAGTCAAGAAAATATACATACTAACAATAATGTATCCTTTCCAACAATTCCAAAGGGGTGTCTGCTTTTACCATCCAAGTGACCAGTGCTTCTAAAAATTAAAACAAAATCCCCATTAATGTTCTTTTTGTTGCTCCATCTCATACTCTTGGAATTTGCTTAACAAATCACCATTAGCTCCAGGTTGGAGAATTTTGAATGCCCCTTTACAAGCCCTTTCCATTGCTTGACCGTATTTCCCCAAGATTTTCAGAGCAAATTTGGTATCCTTGAAAAATTCCAGTCCTCTAAGCAGTGTATTCCTGAGTTCCCAAGGATAGGCTGACAGTGAGCCTCACTTAGCTAGCTGTTACAAAAACCTTTCATTCAGAAGGCAAGAGGTTTCAGCAAAGATACACAGCCCTCTCATTCACACACTTCATAAACAACGGGGACTTCGCCGAAGCCTCCTCTCTAGGAAGGAATCCCAGCTTTTTAGAAACCGGTTTGCAACATCAGTTATCATTCCCTTCTAAAAGACCTTGCAGGAAAATTCGGAATTTCACAGCATAGGAGAAGGGCTGGAAAGGACCCATGTCATTGCACGGACTCATCAATTCGCTCCACATTTCCAAGCAGCAGCTAATGCTTTCTTAAAACACAGACCCTCCCAATCCCTTTAGGAGGAAGAGCAATTCCAAGGGAAAATATTACACGCTTAGGTCCCCGTTAAGATTCTGACGGATCTGAAATAAAAAAAAAAAAAACAAAACCGGACTGAGTCAGAGATAACAGAGGCTGAGCCGGTGGGGTTGGGAAAATGGCTTGTCTCCTCCAGGCCTGAGTCTCTCCCCCTGAAACCGTTCCCTTTAAATTCAGGAAGGAATGCCGAGATGCTCCCCTGCAGGTTTTCATTTTTTTATTTTTTATTTTTTTTTAAGAAAAGCCTGTCTGCCTCTGACTCGCCTCCAAGATACTCACGGCAGCTGCCTGAGCTGGAATAAGTCCTCCTCCATGTCCGCGCTGCGCCAGGACGAGCCCTGTTCATGGCCCTTACATGGTGGTGGTGGATGACGAGCGCGCGCTCGGGGGCTTCAGCGTTAGGATGCCGGACCCGCGCGGCTGACTCCCTCGGTGGCAGCTGTTCCGGGGAGGCAGCCGCCAGGGACCAGCCCACGAGACAAAGCCGCCGCCGCCAGGAGACCGCGGCGAGAGTGGGCGGAGAGGAGGCGGCGGAGGGCAGAGCGAGATGCGCGGGGAGAGGGGGCGGGGAGAGCCCTTCTGGTTAGCGAAATGTACAGGCTCTCTGGGGCTGGTGGTGATGCTCTGGGGTGCCGACAGGGCGCCCGCCAGCCTGTGAAATGGCTGTCTGGGTACCAATGAGGACTCTTCGGTTGACGATGCCTTTCTGAAGGTTTGTGTGTAGGGATGCATTGAAGGTTGCCTTAGGTATTCTTGAAAACCAGGCGGCTGTCACAAATGCAGAGAATGAAAAACAAAATTTCCGTGCGTTGAAGCATTGTTTATTGAGCACCTACTGTCCGCCAGGGCTTTCCTGGTGGCTCAGTGGTAAAGAATCCGCCTGCCAAAGCAGGGTTTGATCCCTGCGTGGGGAAGATCCCCTGGACTAAGGAAATGGCAACCCACCCCGGCGTTCTTGCCTGGGAGATGCCACGGACAGAGGAACCTGGCAGGCTGCAGTCCTTGGGGTCGCAAAGAGTCAGACGCGCCTTAGCGACTGAACAGCTGTAGTATGCTGGGCAAGGTGATAGTCACTGGGTAAATGATAAGAGAACAAGTTAGACATGACACTTTCATCACAGAGATGAGATCTTGTGAAATGAATCAAGAAAAAAAAATTGGGTAAATTGTGTAGGAGAAAGCCAAAGATCACTCGTTTATTCAACAAGCATTCGTGAGTGATCTCTGCAGTTCTGTGGAATCAAAGATGAATAAAACCCAATTCCTGCCTTCAAATTCCTCTTCATCTTGTCAGTGGCACCCCTCCCTCTTCCACTAGAATGTCCGCCCCGACTCTGCCTCCAAAAGGTAAGCTCCGTAAAGGTTTCTGATGTTCCCCCAAGGGCCTGGAATATAAAACTTTATTTATGGACACTGAAATTGAAATTTAATATTCCTCACTACACTCAACCCCAGGGCTTTGCTGTTGTGAGCACTCAATAAATGCTTGTTAAACTGAAAACAGACATCTTTCGAGTGAGGAGATTCAGTTATCTGTTTTAAGCCATGGAGAGTTGGGATAATAATTTATATCAGAGCTGGCAAGTTGGAGGGTTATTGGTAAAGGCGTTAACTCAGCCTGGTTTACTCAGGACTTGAGTTATAGCACTGAAAGCTCGGTGTCCTGGAAAGTGCTGGATCTGAAGCAAACCTTGACAGTTGGTTGCTCTACAACTGTAAGCCAGAGAAGGGTTTTCATGCCTAAAGGGTTCTGAGTACCGTTAGGTGCAAGATTTCAAACTATAAAAACTCTTTACATAAAACTCTAAGACTCATAGGAGTAAATCTTCATGACCTTCAATTAGGCAATGGTTTCATAGACACGACCTCAAAAAGCACAAGAGACAAAAGAAAAAAAAACCAAATATGCTGGACTATATCAAAGTTAAAATCTCTTATGCTGCAAATAATACTATCAAGAAAGTGAAAAGACAACCCATAAAATAAGAGAAAATATTTGAAAATCATATAACTAACAAGAGACTAACTCAAAATATGTAAAGAACTCTTGTAACTTAGTAATAAAAGACAAATAACTCAATTTAAAATGGGCAAAAGAAAAAAAGATAAAATGGGCAAAAGATATGAATAGACATTTCTTCAAAGAAGACATGTAAATAGCCAATTATGCACTTGAAAAGAAAACGTGTAACAATACTGCAATCAAGATACAGAATGTTTCCATCACCCCCAAATTTCATCTCTGGCTGCTCAGACAACCACTAATCTGCTTTTACTACTATAGATTAATTAGTATTTTCTAGAATTTATGTAAACAGAATCATAAAGTACATACTCTTTTCTGTCTGACTTCTTTCATTCAGCATGGCTTTGGAATTCATAAATGTTACCATCTTTTAATAGTGCATTCATATTTATCTCTGAATAATATTCTATTGTATGATATGCTATATTTTACTTATTTGTTCATCAATTAATGACCATTTAAAAATTTCCAAATTTGGAGCTCTTATGAATAAAGTAACCTTGAACATTCATGTACAAGTCTTCCTATAGATTTACATTTGCATTTCTTTTGGGTAAATAAATATTGAAGAGTGAAATGGTTGGGTCACTGAGGTAAGGTTATGTTTATCTTCATAGCAAACGGCTAGCTTTCCAAAGCATTTATTGTTGCTCTTTAGTCACTAAGTCGTGTCCGACTCTTTGCGACCCCACGGACTATAGCCCCCCAGGCTCCTCTGTCCATGGGATTTCCCAGGCAAGAACACTGGAGTAGGTTGCCATTTCCTTCTCCAGGGGATCTTCCTCACCCAGGGAGGGAACCCACATTTCTTACATCTCCTTCATTGGCAGGTGGGTTCTTTACCACTAGCGCCATCTGGGAAGCATACGTTATCATTTTACATCCCCATCAGTGATGTATGAGAGAGTTCCAGTTGCTTCAAATCCTTACCAACAAAGGGTATTGACCATTTCTTTAATTTTCATCATTCTAATATAGTGTATTGTGGTGTTAATTTTTGTTTCCCTTGTGACAAATTATGTTGACCATATTTTCATGTACCTATTGGCCATTTATGTATCTTTTTTTGGTGTGCAATGTCTGTCCAAATATTTTGACAGTTTGGGGAAAACTGTGTGTCCTCTTACTGAATTGTAAGATATCATTACATGTTATGGATACAGGTCATTATTAGATGTGTGTACTTATAACATTTTCTGAAATTTGTGTCATACCTTTTCATTTCTTAACAGTATCTTTTAAAGAAAATGTTTAAACTTAAATAAGATTGAGATTATCAGATATTTTTTCTTTTCTAATTTAGGCTTTTGTGGCCTAAGAAATCTTTGGGGTTTAAATATATACTTATATTTGGCTGTGCTGGGTCTTAGTTGTGGCAAACAAATCTTTGTTTACCTGAGGGTTGCAAAGGTTTTTCTCCTACAAGAAAAACTCCTTAGAGAGTTTTATAGTTTTAGCTTTTATGCTTAGGTCTATGATCCATTTCCAGTAAGTCTGAGTGTTTCATTACATTCTTTCACAATAATCTGCTCTCTATATTTTAGGTATCCTTCCTTTTCCCTAGATCTCTATGGGATATTTGGCCACGGAGGAATAGTGTATCTTTCAAAATGTATGAATGGGAAGATCAGAGACAGGGCTTGTGTTCTGTGATAGCATCTGTGACCTTAGACAGGCCTGTGCCTGTATGTGGTTCAGTGTCCTCATCTGTAAGAGTGGCACTGGTCAGACCTTAGCCTGCCTGCCGTCCAAGCATGTGGTGAGACTGGGAGGAGATGCTACAGATGCCAGCACTTATAGAACTGGTCCAGCTTCAGAGAAAATGTGGGGTGCTATAGCTCTTATCATTTTCGAATAATCTCTATTTTTCTTTCTCAGTATTTTACCCAAGATAGTGTGTACTACACTTCATTCTGAGCGTAAGGAAGATGATTTTAGGTGATACATGTGATAAACAGTTATCCTACTTAAAATAAATACAGCTACTTATTTTTATATATATTAGAAAAATATATTTTGTCCAAATATGAAAACAAACTAAAAACAAAAGAAATTTTAAAATATTTATGTGATTTAGGTAAAAAAACAAAGCTAATTAAATAGTAAAGGTGATGTCTGGATATGGCCAAAAAAATTTAGGATGTTATCCAAACAATAATAGTTGGTCAAAATGCAGATGCATGAGTATCACACTGATACATTCTGATACATTTGGCTGAGATGGAGCTAAGAACATGCACCTTTTTTTTTCTATTTTCATTCATTCTATTTTTTAGACTCCACATATAAGTGAAAAATATACAGTATTTGTCTTCCCTTGTCTGACATTTCATTATATGTAATATCCTTCAGGCCCATCCACATTGTTGTAAGTGGCAGATTTTTATTCTTTTTTTATGGCTGAGTAATATTCCACATCTTTATCCATTCATCTGTTGGTGGACACCTAGGTTGCTTCCATTTCTTGGCTATTGTGAATAAATGAATAATGCTGCTATGAACGTTGGGGTGCATGTATCTTTTCAATTAGTGTTTTTGTTTTCTCAGGATGTATACCCAGGAGTGAATTGCTGGATCATATGACAACTCTAATTTTAGTTCCTTAAGCAACCTCTGTACTGTTTTCCATAGTGACCACACCTATTTACATTCCCTACAAGAGTGTATGAGCAGGGACCTGCACTTTTAACCAGGAAGTCAGGGGATTTTTTGGCTAGGTGGTATAAGGCCCACATTTTAAAGAACATTGTTTCCAGTGTCTTAGTTATCTCGAGCTGCATAACAACTTACCCCAAAACTTAGGACCTTTGAAAAATATTATCTCACACAATTTCTGTGGGTCATGAATCCAAGAGCCAGTTATCTGGGTGGTTGTAACTCAGGGTCGCTTATGAAGCTTCAGTGAGATATCAGCCAGGGTTGTGGTCTCATCTGAAGAATGAGACAGGAAGGCCCATTTTCAAGGTGGTGGACTAACATGGTTGATAAGTTAGTGATGACTGTTGGCAGGGGGCTTCAGTTCTTAATAGGTAGACCTTTCCACAAGAAGATCCTCTCCTAAAAGGAAGCCCTCTTGCAACTTTGATGGGAATGTAAATTGATACAATTACTATGGAGAACAATTTGGAGATTCCTTAAAAAACTGGGACTAAAACTACCATATGACCCAGCAAACCCATTCCCCGAGAACACCATAACGGAAAAAGTCACATGTACTCCAGTATTCATTGCAGCACTATTTACAATAGCCAATACGTGGAATCAACCTAGATGTCCTTTGACAGATGAATGGATAAAGAAGTTGCGGTACATGTATACAATGGAATACTACTTAGCCATAAAAGGAATGAATTTGAGTCAGTTCCAGTGAGGTGGATGAACCCTGAACCTGTTATACAGGGTGAAGTAAGTCAGAGAGAGAAAAATAAATATATATTAGTGTACATATATGGAATATAGAAAAATGGTACTGATGAACCTATTTGCAGGGCACAAATAGAGAAGCAGACATAGAGAACAGACTTGTGGACACAGTGCGGGAAGGAGAGGGTGGGGCGAATTGAGAGAGTAGCATTGAAACATACACATTACCATATGTAAAACAGATAGCTCGTGGGATAGCCATGTAAAACAGGTAGCTCATGGGATAGCCATGTAAAACAGATAGCTCATGCATAACACAGTTTGATTATCAGGGTGCTCTGTGACAACCTAGAGGGGTGGAACGGGGTGGGGTGGGAGGGAGGTTGAAGAGGGAGGGGACATAGGTATACTTATGGCTGATTCGCCTTGTTGTATGGCAGAAACAAGCACAGTAATTATCCTACAATTGAAAATAAATTATAAAAAATAAGAAAAAACGCAGATCCTCTACTGAGCATCTTCACAACTATCATAGTGAGTGGTTCCTCCCATAGCAAGTGGTCCAAGAGAAAGCAAAGTGGATACAGAAACGTCATTTATGACCTGACCTTGAAATTTACATACCATCCTTCTCACAGTAAAAAATAAAATTTTAAAAAATATTTATTTATTTACTTTGGGCTGTGCTGGGTCTTCAGTGCTGTGCGTGGGCTTTCTTTAGTTGTGTTGATCGGGCTTAGCTGCCACTCTGAATGTGGGACTTACCTGACCAGGAATCAAACCCATGTCCCCTGCACTAGCAGGCAGATTCTTAACCTCTGGACCACCAGGAAAGTCTTTCCCAATAAACATTTGGTTACACACATCTGCTGTATTTAATGTGGGATGTGTGACTCCAGGATATATAAGGTCTTTGGGGTCATATCTTGAAGGTTGGCTACTACACTCAGCTTTCCTTCTGTGTTGTTCTGCATGTTTGAAACTCTCAGAAAAGACAATTGGAAAAAAATGCAGTCTCTGTCAGGAAATGGGGCAACTAGTTTAACTGATGGCAGAAGTTAATTCTGCTATCAGTGAATTCTTCTGGGCCTCAGTTTCCTCACCAGTCAATGAACTGACCTCTGATGGCCTCTTCAGGTGAGGCCCTTCCTGATTAGTAAAAAAAATAATGGTGACTTATAAGATGTTATGAGCAGATGTTCTGGGAACCAACGTGCTAGAGTCTTACAGGGCTTCTGTTCGAACAGGAGGAAGTGATTTTGAAACTAATGCCATTCTTTGTTAATGGAAAATAAAACAGGAACCTAGTCATTGTTTAACAACATATATATTCACAACAGATAGGAGGAGACACGCAAAAAACCAGAAATGAGTTCTTGGAAACTTGTATGCGCTTGCTGGTTTTAAAGGGAATACATGTGAAATACAAACTGATCAACCACATAAATTAGGTAATAATTCCCACAATTATTTATTACAAATTAATTATTTTTATTAAGGGTTTATAGTGAAGAGCTACGTAGGAAGGCTTAAATGTGGGTTTATTGTGAAGATCTGAGAGGTAAAGTGAGCTTAACAACTGGGTTTAAACGTCTCTCTGGAGATTGGAGATCCTACCAGAAAAGGAGGGTTTGAGTTACAAAGGTTGCAACAATTCAGAGCTACTGCATAAAGAAAGATACATTTATATTAGTCATCTCTTAAAAGTGTTTCTAGTTATGAAAGAAATAAATGATCATGATAGAAATTTAGATAATAAGAAAAGCATTCAGAAGAAAATAAAACTTACTACTAATCTACCACAGAGAGAGAACCAGAGTTACCATTTGGGGACTATAGCCTTCCAGCCATTTTTTGACACAGGGACAGTTAAACATAGAGAGCATAGATGCCATTGAAGCATATGGCCATAGAAGCCATTGAGAACATAGATGTCTTCCTATAAATTTGGGCTCATATTTATCCTATTAAGTGGTCTGCTTTTTCAATTTTCATGAGCTTCTAATGGATATATATATATATTTTTTTTTTACAAGAAGGAACATCAATTTTGATGCTGTCTTCCCACTGTAGTTTTTAATTTATTCCCTTGTCTGTGTCAGGCCTCAGCTCTAGGGCTCAGTAGTTCTGGCTGGCGCTGACTTGTTTGCCTCCCAGCATGTGGGATCTTATTTCTCTGACCAGGGATCAAATTCACGTCCCCTGCATTGCCAGCTGGATTCCTAACCACTGGACCACCACGGAAGTCATACCCCTGTGTTTTGTTGATGCTTTTAAAGTTTAACGTTTTTAAATTGTTTTTTTGATTTTTTTCTTGTTTTTGAATAATAATGCACGCACATGGCACAAAATACCCAAAGACAAAAGGTTGCCCTCAATCACATAGCTGCCTTATCAGAGGCCAGCAGTGTCTCCAGTGTCTTAATTATCTCTATATTTATAAACATTTGTTCTCACACAATTAAAAGCATTCTCTTCCATTGCCCTGCACCTTACTGTTTTGGCCTTAACAATGAATCTTAGGATCTCCTTTATCAATACACAAGAGCTGCTGTATTATTTTCATAGCATATAGTATTCCACTGCATGGGATTACTATAATTTTTCTAGGTATTGAGATTTCTTCTCATCGTTTATTATTCACAACAATGCTGCAATAAATACCTTTATTCTTATGTGTGTGTGTGTGATAAATAGATTACTCTGTAGATCACAGGGTATGCAGATTCGTCATTTTTGTAAATAGTCCAAATGGCCCAGGACGAAATGGTACCCATTTACCCTCCCACAGGGATGCAGTATTTTTCTCTGAGACACAGGGACTCAGTAGTTGTGGCAAGTGGGCTCAGTAATTGCTGTGGGCAGACTTAGTTGCTCCATAGCATGTGGAGTCTTAGTTCCCTGACTGGGGATTCAACCCAAGCCCCTTGTATTGCAAGGCAGATGCTTAACCACTCAACCACCAGGGAAGTCCCGCGAAGTGGAAATTTTAATAGAACCTGCTTGGCGGGTTTGTTGGGAGGATGGAATAGGACAGTGCACACAGGTATTCAGCACAAGGATCTAGCCACTAGCAAATGTTTGGCAACTGCTTTCAATTATTATGTTTACAGACAAAGGAAGTGTGAAACCCAGTGTACTAGTCAGGATGCTCCATAGTTCTCAATTTTAATTTTTAGTAGTGTAAGTATAGTTAGGTATAGTGCACATGAACAAAAGCTTCATAATTTTTAGGCTTATAAATGGGTTCTGAGACTATAAACTTTGAGAATCACTGAACCAAAACATTTCTTTACTAAAGCAGTTGCAATTACTTGCCCTGGAGTTGGGGGAATCAATTAGAAGGGAGGGCAAATTCTCTCTGGCTCTAATATTGTCCAGTGTAGTAGCTACCGGTCACATGTGGCCATTGAGAACATGAAAAACAGCTGGTTCAAATGGAGAGGTACTTAGTACAAACATGTGAAAAGTGTTAGTTGCTCAGCCATGTCTGACTCTTTGTGATCCCATGAACTGTATGTTGCTTAAGTTACGTTTAAGTTGGTTTACGGAGAAGGCAATGGCAACCCACTCCAGTACTCTTGCTTCGAAAATCCCATGGGCAGAGGAGCATGGTAGGCTGCAGTACATGGGGTCGCAAAGAGTCGGACACGACTGAACGACTGGACTGAATGGAACAGAACTGTATGTAGCCCGCCAGGGTCCTCTGCCCATGGAATTCTCCAGGCAAGAATACTGGAGTGGGTTGCCACTCCCTAAGAATGTAAATTATCTCATTAAGAATTCTTACATACAAATGACGATATTTTGAACATATTGGGGCAAGTGAAAGATACTAATAAAAGTAATCTACTGTTTTTTTCACTTTAATGTGGCTACTAGAAAATTTAAAATATGGCCTTCCATATATACTATTGGACAGTGCTTATTCTTGAGACACAGATTTGCCTGACAATCTTGTTTCCACCACTTACACCTGTGTCAAAAACTTACTATATCTCTGAATTTCTTGCGTTTCCTGGGGTGTAAAATGTGGATAATGTAAGTGCGAAGATTAAATATGAATAATGCATGTGAAGTACTTAGCAATGCACTGAATTAAACAATAGGTTTGGTGGCTGTTATTATTCAAGGTCTGATTAATCTATAGATGCCGTCAGGATGGTCCACACGCTACTTAAAGGCCCTTCTTCTGCGACCCGTTTCCACTCTGAAGACAAGTTGTGATCCCGCTTTCAGGCGGGAATCACCCTCTTCACACCGAAAAATAAAAGTGAGCCAGGGTCCCTTTTGCAAATCGGACATTTGTATAGAACGGGGCCCGAACAAAACTTGAAAACCAAGCGGTCCCAGGCCACAGGACCTCCCTTAGTAACCGACGCCGACATCCGTTGCTAAGGGGGAAAAGGAAGTACAATATTGTGGTCCTTCGACTCTAGTCTTCCGGTGAGAGCCACTTCCGGTTCTTCTGGCAGCCCGTCCTTCGGTCTACCCTCCCCGCAGGAGCTGGGACTTTGGCCACGGGTTCCGCCGCCTCGGGAGCCCTCGGAGCCCTGGGTCCGGCCGCGGCGACAGCGGCGGGGGCGGCGGCTCGCCTCCCGCGCAGCCGCGATGCTGAGCTCCCGGGCCTCGGCGGCGATGACCGCGGCCGACAGGGCCATCCAGCGCTTCCTGCGGACCGGGGCGGCCGTCAGGTGAGCTCTGGGGGGCGGGGCGGCCGGGGAGGCCGGGGCTGGTGCGCCAGTGGAGGCCCTTTCACGCTCCAGTCAGGGTCCCCGGGGCCGGAGTGGGCCTTCCGGAGACGTCTACGTCGACAGGGCTGGAGGCCCAGGCCCTGGGGCGGGGGTGGGGGTGTCGGGCCTCCAGGGCCTCAAGGCAACGCCGATTCTGTCCGCATTCCCCAGTTCTGCTGGGCCCCCGATTTTATCAGTGCCCCCTCCACCCCCGTCCTTGCACCTGCCAGTGTCTCCAGCCCTGTCACTGTCGCCAGAGCTACGAGGGAGACTCAGGCTTGTCAAGGCCCCGAATTCTGTCAGTGGCCTCTCGGCGCCTCGGAGGACTTCCTGGACTCTCTCATCCTATCAGGATACCCCCAATTATTCTGGGCTCCCCAGTTATGTCAGTTCCTGGCCTTCTAGGTTTCCCCAACCTTGCCCAGCTCCCCAAACCTGCCATGATTCTCACAACCCCGCTAGAGTACCCCGAGCTTTCGAGTGTCCCCCCACCCCATTTTGTCAGTACCCCTCTTCCTGTCACCCTCCCCCCCTCCTAGTTTTTCCAGGGATCCCTTCGTTTGTAGGAGCCCCTAGTCTTATTAGTGACACCTTATCTTGCAAGGGCTCCTAAATCAATCAAGAACCCTTAACCTGTTAAGGCTCCCAGTCTTGTTAAGATCCCCCATTCCTGCCGGGACCCCCAATAGTATGAGTCCCTAGTCCTGTCAGGGTCCCTGTCTTCCTTCTCTTGCCTGCCCTCCCACGGGCTGCAGCTTCGGAGCTGGGCACTGTGGCCACCCTCAGCCCCCACTTCCTGTATAAGTTCAGACATTTATTTAGTGGAAATACATAACTGTGTGTGAAGACAGTGTTTTAAACTGCTGGTGAAATTTCTTTATTTGTAGTAAAGGAATAACTTCAGTGTTGAAGTCAAGCTTCAAATGAAGAAATATTTAATATTTAATAAATATTTAGAAGATCTTTATATGATTGTATAAGGATCTATTTACACATCTGTTTATCTTTATACTTTATACATCTATCTTTATACTGTTGTATAAAGATCTCCCCCCACTTAATAACCTAAAAGATAAATCCATTTCTGTATTTCTCCAATCATTCAATAAATACTATCAAGAACCTACTGTGTGATCTAAACACTTGGAAGCACTTGGAATATGTTAATGTGTAAAACAAAGATCCCTGTCCATGGGGACTTTGCATTTTAATTGAGGGAGACTGAAAATAAACGTGGTGAATCAGTGAATGTTATGTTAGAAGGTGGAGAGCGCTGTGGTGAAAAGAAAAAGTAGAACTGGGTAAAATGTCATGAGAGCAGGTTCTAACAGTTTGTTAGATGTGAGAGGGAGAGACGTTCTTGGCTGCCCGGTGGTTAAGACTGCGCTTCCGCTGCAGGGGGCACAGGTTCAATCCCTGCTTGTGGAACTAAGAGCCCCCATGCCACATGGCAAGGCAAAAAAATAAAAAAAATTTTTTTAAAAAGGAAGGAGGAGAGGGAATGAGCCAAGCAGTGGGACCTGGGGGAAGAGCATCCCAGGCAGAGAGGGCAGCCTTGCAGAGGCCCTGGGGTAGGAGCATGGCTTTGGCTGGGGTGGTGGCCAGTATGGCGGTAGAATGAGAGACAGAGCAAGAGGAAAGCCCTGGACCCTCCTCTCGAGTGAGCTGGGGCTTGGGGAGGTAGTACTCTGACTTAGGTTTTAAATCCTAATATCTCTGTGTGCAGATTTTCAAGACATATCCTGTACTGTATATTACTTTAATTTGAAAGCTAGGTATTTGGCAGGCCAGTGGGTTATTTTGATGAAATGTTATATCTGTGTACCTGTTCCTATATATGCACGTATTGTATTTGTTATGAGGAAAGACAGTCAACTTATTTTCTTTTTTAGATATAAAGTCATGAAGAACTGGGGTGTTATAGGTGGAATTGCTGCTGCTCTTGCAGCAGGAATCTATGTTATTTGGGGTCCCATTACAGAAAGAAAGAAGCGTAGAAAAGGTAAGAATGAAGCCTTTGCATCATGGCCTGTAGACTCGACCCAAACCTTTAATTGTTCAAAAACATTACCAAAGGGGGAGGACATGTATGGTTCTCTTGTGTCTTCAATTTTGTCAACAGTATTTGCTTTTAAGCAGACGTTAATTTTAGTGACTTATTATTTTATATCCTCTAGTAAAAAGATTTCTATTTCACCCCCACGAAGGGTATGAGTTTGAGACATGCTTTGTAATGAGAAATTTCAAGTGGCTTAATTGTCTAAGTGTCCTCATTATTATGGCCATTGTGCTTTTCAGCTGTACAGCTGCCTAATTGTGTAATGCCTTTGTGCTTTCACCGAATGGCTGCTAGTCACTAGTAAATAGTCACTAGTAAATGTTTCAAACTCATTTCTTCATTAACAAAAAAATCTATTTTCTTATTTTTAAGAAAGCCCCCTTTTGTCAATGTTGCACTACTTAAATTGATTAAAATTCAGCCAAAATAAATACATAAAAGGGACAGATGTAACAAAATGTTGGTCATTTTTTAAAAATTTATTTTTTTAATCGGAGGATAATTGCTTTACGATGTTATGTTGATTTCTGACATCAGCATAAAGCAGCCGTCGGTATACACATGTCCCCTCCCTCTTGAACCTCCCTTCCCCCTCGCACCCCGTCCTGGATCATTGTTCAATCTGGGGATGGTTGTTATTGGGGTTTGTTAGGTGTCTACTCTTCTTTTGTGGATGTTTGAGAACTTTCATAATAAAAATGTTGTTTTTGTTGTTTTCAGTTTCAGCAGAAGAGGGAAGTGTGTCAGATCTTGTTAATCTCTTTGCAGAAAGGCCGATCAGAATGGCAGGAGTAGTGTCTTTCCCACTGATTATAAGAACAAAATCATTGTCCTGGGGGAGCAAGAACAAAACGATTGTTGTCTTCTGTTGTGAGAAACATTGCTTTCTTAACAAAGGAGAGAGAGTGAGGGAGAGAAAGAGAGAGAGGTTACTAAGTGTTTCTGTACATTTAATGTAAGCCAGGCTGTGCCAGACACTCTGGTGCTCTGGTGAGTTTCACGAGTCCCACGTGGCCAGGACCGGCCCGTCTGCAGCCTACGATCTCCTGAAGGAGCATTATTAGGGCCAGGCCTCAGCTGGGACGGAACGCTCGGCCCCCACTGGTCTCTGTGGATGAGGGCTTTCTGAAACTGGGGTTTCCAGCCCAAGGCCACGGTGCAGGAGCTCTGGGGCCCGGATGGGAGAGGAACAAAGAGCCAGTCTAGTGTGAGGTGCTGTTCTCTTCTCCCCCCTCACTTAGGGCTTGTGCCTGGCCTTGTCAACTTGGGGAACACCTGCTTCATGAACTCCCTGCTGCAGGGCCTGTCTGCCTGCCCCACCTTCATCAAGTGGCTGGAAGAGTTCACCACCCAGTACACCGGGGGTCACAAGGAGCCCCCCCAACACCAGTACTTATCGTTGACGCTGTTGCACCTCCTGAAAGGTACTGAATTGGTAATGGAAAGGGGATTGTGTGTATTTTCTTTCTTTCTTTTTTTTTTGATTGTGTGTATTTTCAAAGCAGCAGCCCAGAGGGCAGGCAAAGGGTTAATAGCCTTCCTGTAGAAAAAAAAAATCACATAGATTCTTATGAAAAAAGCAGTAAGGGCCCAATAGATACACTCAGGCTGTGTTGTTTTTTTTTTTAATAAAAAATGTAATCATTTATTTTAAAAATTGTCAGTTTAGTAACAGCTGTTTAAGGAGGGGAAAAAACCCACTGCCATTTAAGCATTTAGATTGTAAGGAGTACTCTGGTTTCAAAAACATCAAAGTTAAAAAAAAAAGTATCTTATCCAAGGAAATGAGGTAATTCACAAAAGCACTAACACAAATTGTGTTTAAGTAGAGACAGGATATATCTGGGCTTCCCTTGTGGCTCAGACCACAGAGAATCTGCCTGCAATGCAGGAGATCCGGGTTTGATCCCTGGGTCGGAAAGATCCCCTGGAGGAGGGCATGGCAATCCACTCCAGTATTCTTGCCTGGAGAATCCTACAGAGAGAAGCCTGGTGGGCTACAGTCCAGTCCTTGGGGTCCCAAAAGAGTCGGACATGACTCAGCAACTAACACATAGGATGTATCCAACAAACAAAACAAGCAAAACACTGAAACATTCACTGTGTCCACCATCAAAGAGATATTAATAGCATAATAGTGAAGTACCACTTTTTGGCCTGTTAGCAAAGATGGAAAAGCAAATCTGCAGTCCTGAGCTGGCCCTGGGTGACACGTTCGTATGTGCTGGTGGTGTCACTCGAGACAGCCTTGGGGGAAGGTGGCTTGGAACCACGTGGTAGTAGCTTGCAAAACACCCAGGACCATTTGACCTAGTAATTCAGTGGGCTACACTAGCTGGGAGTGGAGTTTGTTCCCAGGGCAGGCACGCTTGGGAATGGCCCAGTACTAGCCCTGAGGTTGGAAAGCCATGGTGTACGTGGGCTTGGTAAAGGTTTAAAGAGGCCACCAATCTAACTTCATTTAAAAAAACATTGGAGTATAACTGCTTTACAACGTTGTACTCGTTTCTGCTGTACAACAGCACGAATCAGCCTCAGGCACACAGATGTCTGCTCGCTCTTGAGCCTCCTTCCCACCCCCGACTCTCCATTCCACCCTCCTAGGTCATCACAGAGCACTAGTCCACTGGTCCATTCTCAACAACTGTGTCTCTCTTCCTGCCCTGCAGGTAGGTGCTTCAGTACCATTTTTCTAGACTCCATAATAGTGAATAGTGAAGTCGCTCAGTTGTGTCCGACTCTTTGTGACCCCGTGGACTGTAGCCCACCAGGCTCCTTCGTCCGTGGGATTCTCCAGGCAAGAATACTGGAGTGGGTTGCCATTTGCTTCTCCAGGAGATCTTCCTGACCCAGGGATCGAACCCAGTCTCTCACATTGCAGGCAAATGCTTTAACCTCTGAGCTACCAGGGGAGATACCCATTATAATAGATACATGTTAATATATAGTATTTGTTTTTCTCTTTCTTCACTCTGTATGACCAAGGCTCTAGGTTCATCCACCTCACTACAAGTGACTCAATTCCGTTCCTTCTTATGGCTCAGTAATATTCCGTTGTATATATGTATCACAACTTCTTTATCCATTCATCTCTTGATGGACATCTAAGTTGCTTCCTCTCATTTTACTTTTAACCACTTTTTTTTTTCACTGTAGAACTGGTTTTTCCTCCTTTAGCATCTGTACACCCCTACAGGCAGACACCAAAATCTGCAGATACTCAAGCGTCTTATATGAAATGTCATAGTATTTGTGTATAACCTGTGCACATCCCTCCATCAACTTTCAGTCATCTCTACATTACTATTTACATGATGTAAATAGTTGCCAGTGCCTGGAAGATTCAAGTTTTGCTTTTGGGGACTCTGGAATTTTTTTCCCTGAGTATTTTCAATCTTTGGTTGATGGAATCTGAGGATGTGGAACCAGTGGGTATGGATGGCCATCTGTATGAGCAAAGACTTCCAACACCTTGTTGTAATGGGGGTTGGGGGAGGAGCAAGGGAAGCATGTGGTTATCCAGCAGTAGGGTGATTAGGCCAGCAATGGAATGTTACACAGCCGTTAAGAATCATCTTTCTGAAGTTTAATTTGGGAGGAGGCATCGGCTATCCAATTAAGTTTAAAAGAGCAGGATACAAAATATGGTATAATTTGATTTCAGAAAAGTGAAAATGACCTCAGATTAAGGGTGAACAGACAAAGGCCAAAACGTTAACCATGGATATTTTGGTGTGGTAAAGGTGACAATTTAAAAAGATGGAAAAAACCTACTAAAACTTTCAATAATGATTGTGTATTATTTCCATAGTCAGAAAAAAAAATTGGATTTTGAAAACACTTAGCTGAATATTGCTTAACCTGAGGTATGATCTCACCTTGACCAGAAACCTTTATGAAAAGCAAGTTCTGCTCTTCTACATAAGAGGCAACTTGAAACTCTTTTCTTTTACTGACCTGTTTTAAAAAAAAAAAGAACCATCCTAAAGACTGTGTGAAAAGCTGACATGTCTACACGAGTGTCATAACGCAGGGTAGGTGTTGTTGGGTTAGGTGGTGTCTTCCCGCCATATACTCCCTTCTCTGCTTCTGCCTCTCATTATCTTTTATTTTGGTTTTTAGAAATAATTTTTAATTCTGTAAGTAATGCCTGAATAGATTCTCCTTGTGAGAAGTTAAAGCATTACAGAGAGGCCTGAAGTTCTCTTTATGACTATCCCAACCCTGCTCCCCTCCTTCCTTTCCGAAAGCAAAAGATAAGTGTAACCTTCCAGACCATGTCTGTGCATTTAACTGCATTTCTACCTACCCACAGAAATGATATATGATGTTCTTTGTTTTTTTTCATGACCAGATAACCTGATGTGCATTAGAGAAACAGCCGTTTCATACACATACTTCTCCCTCATTCACTGTTTTTTTTCTTTTCCTGAATTTACTGGTCTCATATATTTTGTCTTCTGTGAACTACTAGCTCATATCTTTTGCCCACTTAAAAAATTGTGGTAAAATATTCATAACTTAAAATTTACCATGTTAAGCATTTTCAAGTAAACAGTTCTGTAAGTATGGGCAACCATGACCACTGTTCATCTCTAGAACATTTTCATCTTCCGTGTCGAAACTCTATATCCATTTAACAGTTAACTCCCTGTTTTCTACTACCCCCAGGCCCTGGTAACCACTCTTCTACTTTCTGTCTCTGTGAGTTTGACTGTGTACCTTATTTAAGTGGAATCACACAATATATCTGTCATTTTGTATCCGGTTTACTTCACTTAGCATTGTGTCCGTGAGGTTTATCCACACTGAAGCGTGTGTCTGAGTGTCATTCCTACAGGCTGAGTGTGAACGGCTTTCCGGTGTGTGTGCATGTGTGCATTGTATACACACCACAGTTTGTTCACCCGCTCATGGGTCAGTGGGTGTTCAGGTTGTTCCCACCTTCTGGCCATTGTGAACAATGCTGCTGTGGACATTGGTGGACTTATTTATCTGTTCAAGCCCCTGCTTTTGATTTTGGGGGGTTATGTACCCAGACGTGGACTCGCTGGATCAGATGGGAATTCTGTTTAATACTTTGAGGAGTCACCACACCGCTTTCCACAGCAGCTATAGTCTTTTACCTTCCCTTTGCACAGATGTTCCAGTTCTCTACATCCTCACCAGCACTTGTTATTGTCTGTCTTTCTGATAACAGCCACCTCCATAGGTGTGAAAGTGATGTCTCATTGTGGCCTTGATTTGCATTTCCCCAATCATAAGTCACGTTGAGCATCTTCTCATGTGTTTAATGAATTATATATATATATATATATATGTGTATATATATATATATATATTTAAATGTCTGTTCTATAATCAGTTTTCTGTGTTTTTGTTGTTGAGTTTTAGGAGTTTTTTTTAAATATGTTTTGAATCTTAATCCCTTATCACATGTGTGGTTTGCAAAACGTCATGCACCTTCCCAGCTGCACCGTGTCCCCCCTCTACTTAGCTATTAACTTCCGGTGCCTTGTCTAGATAAACTGGCTGTAGTGAGCCTCCTTGTACATGGCCATCAAGCACACAGTCACATGTTTCCGTGGGTAGATCCTGAGAAAGTCAGGTTGCTGGGTTGTAAGATAGGAAAATGAGTAGACCTTGCCACACTGCCCCACAGTGTTGTAGGCAAGATTGGGCTAAAGGGGACATTCAAATGTTCTTTGGGAGGGAAAAAGCTAACAGAGGGCTGCCCAGGGCTATAGGAGGGAGAAGGAAGGAATAATACCTCTTTGGACGGGTACCCTTCTGGAGGGAAAAGGTCTGACCCCAGGGCTTATTGCACCAGTAACTGGCTACCAGCTGCCAGGGCTGCTGCTTCTCCTCAGGTCACCACCCGGGGCACCAACCATGATTCGGCAGAGGTGGGGGTGGCAGTGATCAGCGCTTCCCGGGTCAGAGCCATCTCGCCAGCTCGCTGACTGCAAATCACAGAGGAGAAACACTGGCTTAATTTATCTGGAGAGTCGCGAAACTCCCAGAAACTGCACTGAGAGGCAGGCTCCGCCTATATTTTTATCTCCTTTATCTCATGGCAGTGCTGATTCAGTGTGATATATTGGTCCTTAATAATATGCTCAGGGAAGAGGGTGGTCAGGATCAGGAACTGACAAACTTTGGCCACGGGGCCAAATTTCTGTACCACCTGTTTTTGTGAATAAAATTTTACCGAAGCACAGCCATGTCCATTTATTTACATGTTATTGATATAATATTGTGTATGTATCTATGTAGTATATACTGTTACACATCATCTGTATAATATTACATAATCCCTATCTATCACCTGTGACTGCTTTTTGCTTTATGGTGGCAGAGTTGAGTAGTTGCTGTGGAGACCTGCACAGCCTAAAGTGTTTACTAGCTGACCTTTTACAGAAAAAGTTTGCCAACCCCTGATGCAGATTTAATTGCAGTATAAATTCATAAACTCATCAGACTTTTATGTGTATCTGTTAGGCTTGATTCTACTCAGATTGAATTCCCTGGTTGTCCAGGGGTTAGGCCTCGGTGCATTCCCTGCTGAAGGCCGGGTTCAATATCTAGTCTAGGAGCTAAGACCCCAAAAGCCATGTGGCACGACCAAAACCAACAACAACAAAAAGAAAGAAGTAAACCATTCAGAGGACTCTTTCAGGCTGCCTCACAGTGCTTGATGCTTTGTAGTAATAGTCAGAAACTCATGCAGACAAGGCCTGATGGTCCTGGTAGAGAGTCCTGTAGAGAAGGGGTTAGGCAGAAAGTATAGGGCTGGACCAGATGGATGTTTAAGGGATCTTTAAGTCCCTCTGAGGTGAAGTTAAAATCATTTTATTCAACATGAATCTTGTAACAGTAAGTTTCTGTTGATGATAGTAATTCAAATATCTGAAAGTCGATTACTAAATGCTGCGGCCACATGAAAATTTCATTCATTCAGCAAACTCCAGGTGTCTACCAGCATCCTAAGCACTGGGTAAGGCTACAAGGAAGAGTAACAAAAGAGATACAATTCCAGGGTGAATTTTCTAGTCCTTCCATTTTTAATTAGCTTTGACACGTCTTTCTGCACAGGTTTTCTTGGTTAGTTGTGTTGGTTCACTTAATAACAGTGTTGCCTTTTTTGATTCCAGCTTTATCCTGCCAAGAAGTCACTGACGAAGAGGTCTTGGATGCAAGCTGCTTGCTGGATGTCTTAAGAATGTACCGATGGCAGATCTCTTCATTTGAAGAGCAGGTGAACACGACATTCAAAACAGGTTTCCTTGGAGACTCCTTCCCATTCATGAGCTGGGGCCTGAGCCCCAGAAACAGGAGCTCCCACTGCAGCAGGAGGAGTAAATGCCAGCCTTGACCTTGCAGTTAGTTGCCAGGCCTGCGTGGACGTTCCCGTGATGTTTCAGACAGCCTGAGTGTCCTGAGAGCAGGTTGTGATTGGGGACAGGGAAGGTTCACAGGACAGGTTCACTGTTGCCAGGGAGGGGAAACCTTTTTAGTTCTCAAATGAGTTTGCACTTCAGTGGCTGACGGGGACACGTGAGGCCTTCAGAGAAAGGTGAGTGGCTCTACCTTAGAGGCTCAGAGGTTCAGGTGTGGCTCTTCTTTAGAGAATACCTTCTTTTTTTTTTTTTAAAAAGCAAGTCTTTCTTTAGAGGCTGGCTGTCATATGCAGCCCCAGGGCCTTCCTCCAGCCAGTCCTTCCAGACTGTAGCCTCACTGTCCTCTTTGGTACTGGCCACCCTCCTCCCCTTCCCCAGAGGACAGTGCTGGGGCTGAGAGAGTGAAGTTCTAGGCACCAAAGGTTTCGCCTCCGTGTGTGTACACTTCCGGCAGTACCTCCTCCTGTCTGCTAACATTCCAGGCTGGCCCCGGCCAGCTTTGTGTTGGCTACTTCCTCCTCCACGGTCCATCCCCTGGACCAGAGCCTTTGGGCTCCCCGAACTGTGGGGCTGAAGTGAGAGGCATTTAAAAACTCAGAAAAGTGAGGTGGGAAGGCTTTCTCACTCCCCTTTTCTTTCAAGATGGTCTCCGTTTCTGCTTTAATCGGAAGCCATATGTGTGTTACTTTTTAAACATGATGTTGAGAGTATCTCTATTTTCTCATGATGCTTCTTGACTAATCCATTACTTGTTGAAATATTTTTCCATTTAGAAACTACTTTTGTAATCCTCCTCTGGTAACTGGAATTATTTAGTTACAATTCACATTTCTCTAAACTGAGAGCTACTGGGGTTTAGTCCTTCAGGACATCAGATAGCTGTCGGCTGAAAAGAAAAAAAGTGTACAACCTTAAAGCCAAGAATCAGGTTTTATTTGACTGGTGTACTGAAGGCAGGACTTCAGCAGGGAGACAGCCTCTCAGATAGCTCTGGGGGCTTCTCCGAAGAGGTAAGGGAGGAGCCGGGATATATCAAGTGTTTGCAAAAAATCCCGGTAGTCAGAACATCAAAAGAGTGCTGTTAATGAAAGAAAAGCCGAACTTCCCAAGTTAATGAATTAAGCACTTTTCTGCAGAAGGGAAGGTGTACACGTCTGGGCTCATTGAAGTCATTCCTTCGATACTCACCTTAGCTATCTCAGGCCCATATCCTGCTTTTCTCCATCCTGAATCCCCTCAGGGTGCACAGTTGGGAGTGACTGCAGGGCTGGTGGTTTGGTGGCCACACCATCCTTTGTTTACTGATGTGACAGGTGACATTCTTTGTCCACATTCCCTGCTCTTCTGTCATGGACCCACTTGGGTCCCAGTTGCTCCTGGGGAGTGTTTCCAGGGTCTGACGCTTAGCCGCGTGGCACTGTGGTGTGCGTGGGGAGAGAAAGTGCGCCTGTCTGTGGTTCCCTTCCTCTCTGAGCACATCAGAGCATCTGGCATGGGACCTGGTCCACACCTTCACTGTTGGTGATCAGGTCAGCCAGCCACTTTAATAACTGTTTCCGTTGAACGCACTGGGCCTTGAGAAGCTGGAAAGCAAACTCTACCCAGTTTAGCCATAGAGGGTCTGCCTGGCAGTGCCCACAGCAGGTGGTTCTGACATGGCCCGGCCTCTCCAGCCGTTCTGAAGAACGCTCTGCCCTCTTGACAGGACGCCCACGAGTTATTCCACGTGATCACCTCGTCACTGGAGGATGAGCGGGACCGCCAGCCCCGGGTCACACATCTGTTTGATGTGCATTCCCTGGAGGTAAACCGTTAAAACGCTCTTAGTACACCTGATGTGGTCTGTGCACATCGAACAGGTGCAGGGGACACAAGCGTGATTTTCCTACAACTTTAAACTCAAAAGTAAGATTGGATCAAAAGCCAGTAGTGGGAGTGAGGCCGGGGGAGGGTCTGAAGTGTCACAGTTGGCAGTCAGTGACTGTGGTTAGCAATGTTGAGGTTCTTGAAAGCAATCCTTTGCTGCGATTTGCATTGGCCTTGAGAGGATAGAGTGTATTCCACCCTCCCACCCCCCCACCCCGCCATTTAATGCAGGAGAGCAAGGAGCCACAAGAATGCTCAATGAATCTCATTTCCCTGGCACATTGTAAATGTTAGGGAGTTGATAAAAGTTAACTAGTCAAAGAAGTGGGGTACAGATATTCCCGAGAGAAAAGGTGTTCAATTGCATTTGGTGAAGGAATAGGTGCAGAAATCAGTCAGAGAGCATAGTTAAGGCTGCTTTTAGGAAGCTTAGTTTGAAGTTGAATTTTGAACAGGGCAGTCAGCACAGAAACGAGAGATTTAAGAGGGGATTGAGGGTGGGTGGCCAGAAGGAGAGCAGTAGGGTTCTCAGCCTCTTTCTCTTTCTTCCCCTGCAGCAGACAGAAGTAACTCCCAGACAGATCACCTGCCGCACCAGAGGTAGTTGTTTTCCCTTGAACTGTAATGTGTGAGATGTATGCCTTTTCGATTGGGCAGTAATTTGCTTTATGTTTTCTAAAAGTGTTTTTTTCTGGTGACATCCATACCGACTTGGAGTGTGCACATTTGAGAGGAACTTGTGTTTCGGAAACCGCTCTAAACTGTCCCCCCAGTGAGCATCTCTAGTGTTCCATCACAGCTGAGTTCTGCTCAGTTTCTGCTTAATGGACCTGTTTCTACATCAAACGGTGGTCTCTCTCTACCCTCTTGAATTGGCCCTGTAACTTAATAAGCTGAAGATGCCATGTCCTCAGCGTTTCCATTGTGGCCAGTTGTTCCTGCAAATGCTCGCAGGCCTCCCTGGAAGGAAATCATTGTTTTCTTAAGAAAAGGACACATCAGTTCCTTTGCACACTGGTAGCAATGAGAACAGTTATCTCTTGGGTCCCTGCTGTGTGCCAGGCACCATAATACCTCACACAAGCCTGTCAGCGGCTCTGGGAAGGTGGTGGTGTGGGGCATGCGCCCAGTTGCTCAGTCACAAGGCTGCTCCATCCACAGGATTTTTCAGGCAAGACTCCTGGAGTGGTTGCCAATTCCTTCTCCTGGAAATCTTGCCAATCCAGGGATTGAACCCATGCCTCCTGTGTTGCAGACGGATCCTTTACCGGCTGAGCCGTCAGGGAAGCCCCAGGTGTGGGGCATAGTAGTATCATAATCATCCCCAGTTCCAGAAAACTGAGGCTGATAAACATGACGTCTGGCTCTGGGCCCCATGACTAAAGAAGCAAAGCCAGGACCCAGCCCAGGCCAGCCTGTCTTCCAGCCCATGGTTCTAACTGGCACACCATACCGCTATGTTTATTTCACTAACCCCCACCCTATCCCCCCAAACCCCAGGTCTTTAGAATCTGCTTATTCTGATGTTTTCAGAGGTCTTTTTTTTTTTTTTTTTCCTGCCTTTGTTTTCTTTTGGCCTTGCCTCATGGCATGCAGGATCTTAGTTCCCTGACCAGGGATCAAGTCCAATCTCCATGCAGTGAAAGCTTGGAGTCTTAACCAATAGACTGCCTGGGAAGTCCAGAAACTTTTTTTTCTAAAGAGGGTGTTTGTACCACGTACTAAGAAGGAGAGTGAATTTTGAGGTTGGTGCTGAAGGGCTAGAGGTGGCCTATCCAAAGGTGTTCTGTGTTTCAGGGTCACCGCATCCCACATCCAACCACTGGAAGTCTCAGCATCCTTTTCACGGAAGACTCACGAGTAACATGGTCTGCAAACACTGTGAGCATCAGGTAAATACACTACCAGTGCCTGATATTTTCTGGCAAGGTTTTATTTAAGATTCATGAAGGAACCAGAGTGTGCGGACTGACACTGGTGTTTGGCTTTTGTGATTTTCTGGGGTCTCTGTGCTTAGTCAACTGACTGCCCACGTTTGGTGAGTGCCGACATGCCAGTTGACTCTCAGATGGCATCTTCTGTACCAAGAGCAGCAGACCCATTGTGGATTGGCAGGGTTTTGAGTCCTAAGGTTGGATCTATACTCGTGGTGAACACAACAGGTTCTTGGGCTGGTTTTTTTTGTTTAGTTTTGGTGTGTGTATGTGTGTGTGTTTTGTTTCTGAGATTTTAAAATGTTATTGTGCAAAATTTTGAACATGATGCAAAAACAGAATTGTACAGATGTCACCTCAGTCAATTTTAGAATATTTTTATCATCTCCCCCACCACACACACGAAGAAACCAACCCAGTATCCATTAGCTTCCTTTCTTATTTCTCCTCACACTGTCAGTCCTAGGAAACCACTAATCTACTTTCTGTCTTCATAGATTTGTCTGTTTGGGACATTTCATACAAATGGAATCATACAATGTATGGTGCCCTGAGACTCGCTTCTTTTACTCAGCATAATGTTTTCAGGGTTCTTCTATGTTGTAGCCTATACCAGTGCTTTATTCCTGTTTATTACCAAGTAATATTCTACTGTATGACTGGACCACATTTTGTTTATCCAGCCATCAGTTGTTGGACATTTGAGTCATTTCTGCTTTTCAGCTCTTATGTATAATGCTGCTTTGAATAGTTATGTGCACATTTTTGTGGGAACATGTTTTTATCTCTTGTTTAGTATTTCCCTAGGAGTAGAATTGCTCGCTCATATGGTAACTCTAAGTTTAACCTCTTGAGAGACTGCCAGACTATTTTTCCACTTCCACCAGCAGTGAATGAAGTTTCAAATTTTTCTACTTCCTCACCAACACTTATTATCTAAGTTTTTATTTATAGCTATTCTCTAGTGTGCAACATGGTGTCTCTCTTTTTTTTTTCTCTCATTGTGGTTTTAATTGGCCTTACCATGAGAACTGGGGCTTCCCATGTCTCCTGCCAGTGTGGGAGACGTAAGAGACACTGGTTTGATCCCTGGGTCGAGAAGATCCCCTGGAGGAAGGCATGGCAACCCACTCCAGTGTTCTTGCCTAGAGAATCCCATGGACAGAGGAGCCTGGCAGGCTACAGTCCATGGGGTCACAAAGTTGGACATGACTGAGTGACTAATGATGTTGAATCTTTTTTTTAATAAGTTTTCTATTGATTTTATTATTTATTATTTTAATGTTATTTTATAATATTATATTATTTAATATTTATTATTTTATAAATAAATAAAATTAGGGTTTTTTTGGCTGTGCTGGGTCTTCAGCCAGCAAGGACTGTTCTTTGTTGCGTATGCAGGCTTCTCATTGCGGTGGCCTTTCTTGGTGCAGAGCATGGGCTCTGGAGCATTGACTGTGTGGTTGCGGTGCTCGGGATTAGTTGCTCTATGGCATGTGGGTTCTTCCTGGACCACGGATTGAACTCCTGTGTCCTGCATTGGCAGGCGAATTCTTAACCACCGGGCCGCCAGGGAAGTCCCAAAAGCAGGAACTCTTATTCAATGTATTTTGTCATCTGTTTTTTTTTTGGGGTGGGGGGGCTGCCAATTAGTCATAAAACATGCACATCTTTCTGTGTAATCATGTATACTTCTACTGCAGTATTTTAAATATAGTATTCCATTCTATGTGGACCTGATATAATTTACTTTATTATTCCCTAGAAGTTTCACCCATTCACGTTTTGCTGTTTTAAGTGGTGCTGTGATAACTACATCCTTGTAGTTACGTTGTCCATGGTTATTTCCTTAGGATAATATCCCCATTTTGCTGAGTCAGGTATGTTATTGTACAGTTTTACAAGCTGTCCTTTAGCATTATTGTAGTTCTTATGTTTACAAAGTTGTTCTTAATAGACTTTGCTTCTCGGTAAGTACATTATGTTTGACTATGTTACTGTTGGGCTTGTAAATATGAAACTGTTTTATAGGCATATATCTTCCCACTTACAAAACTTTGATTTGAATCTAAGTCCTTTCTGTATTTCCTGAAATTTATGTTTCAGAGTCCCGTTCGATTTGATACCTTCGACAGTCTTTCACTCAGTATTCCAGCCGCCACTTGGGTATGTACCAATCTCTGGTTTATTTCGAGTCTGTTTCAGAGACATCTGAATCTGAAAGGGCTTTGAGGCATCTTGTGTAACTCAGGTACTACACATGACTCAGACACATAGTTGGTTGAACCTGTGTTAGTTTTAATCTGTGGTTACCATGACCTGTCTGGGGAAGAAGAAGGTGTTTTCTCTCTTGTGCAGAACTTTTGGCTTTTTTGAATACATATACGCATACCTCTCAAGTTCAAAGATGCGTAAAACAGCATGGAAACACATACTTTTCTGCAGTTTTGGGTCCTCATACCCTTGAATCCGTCCAGAATAACAAATCTAGGATGCTCTGAGCTTTCCATTTTGTTCGGGAAACACCCAGTTGTGTCTATGAAGCCTTGCTGCCTACCTAAGCAGAATAAAGCTCTGGGCTTTGCCCTGCTAAGAGTGTCAGTCCAGCTTTCCTTGAATTGTAATCATGAATGTGATTCTTGTGCCATAGGGTCATCCACTGACCCTGGACCACTGCCTTCACCACTTCATCTCGTCGGAATCTGTGCGGGATGTCGTCTGTGACAACTGTACGAAGGTATGCCTTTAGCTCCGGCCACCATCTCCCGAGCTGGCCCCCGTGTCCAGATACAGGGCCTCGCATACCCTCAGCCCTGAGCCCTGTTGACTGGCCCAGAGGCTCCCTGCAGGCACAGCCACCTCCACCTCACTAGCTTAGAAAATTGGCAGCCCATGAAACTATATCTTTTCCCCAGATGAGTTGTTTCATTCACAGAATGCTTAAAGGAAAAAAATTGAATCATATGCTTTGAGGTGAGACATGCCCGCTCCAATTTGCTCCAGTCCCCTCCATGACCACCTGTCTCACTCCTGCCCATCTGCCCCAGGAATCTCATCCTCTGAATTAAGAGGAAGTGTATGGGAAAGAATTTTTTAAGACACAAAACAGATGACAGGCAGCCAGTGTCAGAGTTTCACTGCGGCCTCTTTGTTTCTCTTGCTGCCACGGTCACAGTTATTTAATGACTGTTGTATTTGTTCAGTCGCTAAGTTATGTCCGACTCTTGGCGACCCCTTGGACTACAGTATGCCAAGCTTCCCTGTCCTTCACTATCTCCCGGAGTTTGCTCAAACTCACGTCCATTGAGTTGGTGATGCCATCCAACCACGTCATCCTCTTTAAAACAATGAAAGCAAAAGTCGCTCAGTCGTGTCCTACTCTTTGCAACCCTACGGACTATACAGTCCATGGAATTCTCCAGGCCAGAATACTGGAGTGGGTAGCCGTTCCCTTTTCCAGGGGATCTTCCCACCCCAGGGATCAAACCCAGGTCTCCCGCATCGCAGGCGGATTCTCTACCAGCTGAGCCACCAGGGAAGCCCAAGAATGCTGGAGTGCAGAGCCCATCCCTTCTCCAGGAGATCTTCCCGACCTTGGAATCCAACTGGGATCACCTGCATTGCAGGTGGATTCTTTACCAGCTGAGCTACCAGGGAAGCCCACTTAAAACAGTGAAACCAACTTGCAAATGTCTGGGCAGCTGAGTTTCTTCAGCAGGTGGATGCCAAGTGCCCAGTGAACGCTGGGATAACTCCAGCCTGCCACTCTGCTCTTCCTGAGGGTCCTGTTTCAGGAATTTCTTCAGAGAGATGTTTCCTTTATTTCAGATTGAGGCAAAAGGAACGCTGAATGGGGAGAAGGTGGAACACCAGAGGACCACATTTGTCAAACAATTAAAACTGGGGAAGGTGAGCCTACACTGCACACCTGGCCAGCTCTACCTCCGGAGCACCCCAGATCCGGCTCTGCTCCCAGGACCCCCGGGTCCAGCTCTGCTCTGGGGGCCCCCTGGGTCCCGCTCCGACCCTTCGCTCTTTCCGTCTCTCCTGCCGCAGCTCCCGCAGTGCCTGTGCATCCACCTCCAGCGGCTGAGCTGGTCCAGCCACGGCACGCCCCTGAAGCGGCACGAGCACGTGCAGTTCGGCGAGTTCCTGATGATGGACATCTACAAGTACCACCTCCTGGGGCACAAGCCCAGCCACCACAGCCCTGAGCGGTGTGAGAAGGCAGGGCCCGCACCGGAGCTGCAGGACGGGCCGGCAGCCCCCAAGTCAGGTGGGTGTCCCAGGGGCAGAGGGACGGACCCTCTGGGCCCTGGCAACACTTAAATTCTTGAGAAGAGCAGGATCGGGGGTGAGAGGAGGAGGGCTTCATAAAGGAGGTTACAATGACACAGTGATGTCTAGTTTTTAAAAGCTCTATGATGGATGGAAACATAACAGGCAGGAGAGTGGAAGGTTGCTTTCTGATCTTCTGACTAAATAATTGACTCACCTCATTCCACTGAGTTTCTTCTCTTTTCTGCCCCCTACAGTCACCTAGTTTATATATGTATATATTCAGCTTTTAATGGAGGATGATCGCTTTACAGTATGTTGGTCTCTGCTGTCCAACAGTGTGAGTCAGCTATGTGTCCAAGTCACTCAGTCGTGTCTGACTCTTTGTGACTCATGGACTGCAGCCCGCCAGGCGCCTCTGTCCATGCGCTTCTCCAGGCAATACTGGAGTGGGTTGCCATTTCCTTTTCCAGGGGATCATCCCAACCTAGGGATCGAACCCAGGTCGCTCACATTGCAGGTGGATTCTTTACCATCTGAGCCACCAGGGGATCAGCTATACTATAGGTATACATATACCTCCTCCCTCTTGAGCCGCCCTCCCACCACCTCCTTTAGACAGGGAATGTGGGGAGGCAGTGTCCTGGCTGAAGATCCCTAAACATCTTACTTGGGTTGCTGCTTCTTTACTAAATTGCTGATTTATCTGATCCCATTACAATCCTCCCTTGAGGTTAATCCTTGACTCAGGAACCAGTGAAGCCAGGTAGCTGTTATCACCTTCAGTCTTGCTGAAGAGAGAGCCAAGGCTCCCAGAGGCTGAGTGATGGGTCCAGATGGGACATCTGGCACTGGAATAGATCATGGGGCAGTTTTGTAAAGGTCTTGTATGTAATGTGTTTAGTTCTTTATTAATGAGGGAAAACCCAGTGACTTGAATGGCTCAAAGCCTGAACATCCCGTCCCATTCCACCTTCCCCCCTGCCCAGTTTGCTGCTCCTAGTCAAGCCAGGACTGTCTTCCCTGCACCCTGGCCTTTCCCCACCTAGCACCCCTCACTTTTACTCTTTCTTTTTTTAATATTTATTTTTATTTATTTATTTGGCCCACCAGGTCTTAGTTGTGGCATGTGGGATCTAGTTCCCTGACCAGGGATCGAACCTGGGCCCCCTGCACTGGGAGCATAGTCTCAGCCACTGGACCACCAGGGAAGTCTCCGTACCCTCACTACTGTTACTCCTTTTTACATCCAGCTGCGTGGCCTGGCAGGACATCATTCGCAGGGAGATGGAGCTTTGTTCTTTCTCAGCAGATCCGTAGATTAATATAGAGTAGAGCAGCAAGGGTGGGAAGAGGGCCCAGTTTTAAATCAAGGGCTTCTTGGCCTCACTTTCTCCTCTCCCAGGCAGGGGCACAGGTCTGCCAATGTTCAGAGCATGGTGGTTAAAGAAGTCAACAGTGAGCTAGTAAGTATTAAAGGCCCCCAGATATGACACTTGAAAGGAGAAGAGATGTAAACATCTCCTTAATTATCTCATCTGCACCCGTGAACACATCCTCGCAGTCTCCGACTGCCGCTCCTCAGAAGCTGACGGTGGAGAAAAGAGAACGTTTGGATCAGTGCTTTTCAGCAGGGAGTCTGGCCCCCAGGGGACACTGGGCTGAGGCTGGTGGCGTGTTTGGTTGTCATGGCTGGGAGAGGAGGCACTGTTGTGAGTGGAGGCCAGACGTGCTGCTCAGCATCCTGCAAGTGCCCGGGACAGCCCCCCACAAAGGGCGACCAGAGCTTCAAGGAGAAGACTCGGTTTAGATCAGTTCAGTTCAGTCGCTCAGTCGTGTCTGACTCTTTGCGACCCCATGAACCGCAGCACGCCAGGCCTCCCTGTCCATCACCAGCTCCGAGTTCACCCAAACCCATGTCCATTGAGTTGGTGATGCCATCCAACTATCTCATCCTCTGTTGTCCCCTTCTCCTGCCCTCAATCAGGTTTCGGTCAGAAGGCCAGTAAGCGGGCCACTGCTTGGCTCTGACACATGTCTTCAGCAGCCAGGCCTGGAAATCTCAAAGATCCACAAAGCTGTCACAGGGAGCAGGAGGCTGGGAGGAGGATACAGTTTTTCTATTTGGGAGTAAAGCAGGCGGAGACAAAAAAGTAGGAACTTTATGAATCAACATAGTACAAAGTTACCTGTTTTTCCTTTGTAACCTTATCAGGGAGTTAAATCTCAAGCTAAGCAAACACCACGTTTTGTTTACCCAGAGCTGCTACTCATCTTAATCACCTCTGACCTTTTTCTCTTGCAGTTCGCAATCACCCGGGGGGCCCTAAAACACAGATTTTCATGAATGGCGCCTGCTCCCCGTCCTTGTTGCCTGCCCTGCCGACGCCCATGCCTTTCCCCCTCCCAGCTGTTCCTGACTACAGGTGAGCCGCTCCTTAGACTCCCAAGCCTCATTCACTGATCGATTTAAAAATAATAATGAAGTCCATAAATTGTAAATATTATGGGTATGTGTGTATACATATACATATGTAAGAAAGTATGTACAGAGTATAAAGAAAGAAATTCTATCTCTGGGACACCACTCAGAGATCACCAGTTAAATCTTCATTTTCCTCTCTGTAAAGGTGTGTGTTTGTGTGCATATACCACACAATGTAGGTACACTGACCGAATTGGACGGCTTACCAGGCCAGTCAATAGAGGTCTGCATTTTAATGATTGTATAGCGTCCAGCTGTATGGCTGTGCCATTATCAGTCCCGTCATTGAACCCAGCTAGGGTCCTCCTACTCTTTGCTTTTGCCTCTAAACCTTCCTCGTTGTATTTGTAAACCACTGGCGTTTGTTCCTACCGTTCAGCTCCTCCACATACCTCTTCCAGCTGATGGCCGTGGTCGTCCATCACGGGGACATGCACTCTGGACACTTCGTGACCTACCGGCGCTCCCCGCCCTCGGCCAAGAACCCCGTCTCCGCCAGCAGCCAGTGGCTATGGGTCTCCGATGACACCGTCCGCAAGGCCAGCCTGCAGGAGGTGCTGTCCTCCAGCGCCTACCTCCTGTTCTACGAGCGCGTCCTCTCCAAGATGCAGCCGCAGGGTCGGGAGTACAAGTCTGAGGAGTGACCCCGCCCCGCGCCAGGGCTGCAGACCCGGCACTGCCCCAGCCCTGCGTGTCTGTCCCTGTGCGTGGCGTGCGTGCGCCGGCAGCCCCGCTAGTCCTGCGGCCTCCTGCTGTGGCGAGAGAACAGGCTCCACAGAGGAGCTGGCGGCCCCAGCTCACACCAGAGGAGGCCCCCACTCCCTCCCCGCACAGCTCGCCCGTGGGCACCAGGGTGGCAGCACCGGGCGCCGTGTGTGTCTAGACCATGTCTTGTCACTCACCCGATACAGGTAATTAAAGGAAACCAGACTCCAGAAGCCACCTTTTTAAAATATATTCTGATGCTTCAGGTGTTCTCAAAGGGGAGTTAACTCTGTCTGACCCTCCAGGGCTTCAGCGTAGATCTTTTATTTTTAATAAGCAAGTAAGGCCCACGAAAATGGATGAATTAGTGAAATCATTAAAGGCAACAATTTCAAAGAAAAAAAAAGTGCCTTTCACTCTCAACTGCTTTTGTAGCACATCCCTTCTAGAAAACAGACCTCATCTGGGAGTCACATGAACAATTTTTGCAAAGCTCTGATCCTTCCAGAGTGACCGAATGGAGAGCAAAGGGACAATTCAGAGGACACCTGGCGCACACCCGCGTTCCCCTTTTGTATGTCTTTTCTGACCTCTCAGAGTCTTTGTATGTAGTGGAAGCTCACCTGCCAAACTTGCCTCTCAGGGGCATTCTTCCTCTACTTCATCAGCGACAAGTGGCCAGCTTCCTCACTGCTGTCGTCCTGCGCACCCTGGACTCTGAGGGGCGTGGCCACCGCTTGTCATGTAACCGCCCGGACAGCCAGGACCTGGCAGCCTCTGCGCTGCACCCACGACCACCCTGCTCCGTAGAAAGCCCTTTCTCATGCCAGGACCCACCGTGGACCACTACTTGCACCTATTTATTTATTGCCCACGTGGAGCTCCTGAGGTTTACAGGTGGAGCTGGGGGCCATGACAGACAGACAGACAGACAATCCCAGCCTCTGCGCGAGAGCTGGATTCAGAAGGAAGGGCGCGGACCTCACTCAGGGCCGCCACCTCTCCACGCCTCGGTTTCCTCATCTGTAAAGTGCAGAGTTCGATTCCACGGTATTCAAAGTCCAGCCTGTCCCACAGAAAAGGAAGAAAGAAGTTTAAGAAAACTTTTGAAACATACAACGGCGGCTGACACCTAGTCCCATTATCCTGTCTTAGATCCATATTCTACATGTGTTGGTTTCCAGTACCTCATACAGAAGGCCCCATCTGATCATCCTCCCCCGTCCTCAGGTAAGTCTCATGAAGGCAGCCCAGGGCCAAAGGAATTTCGAGGACACAGAGGTATCTATGTTTTCGCTAGATTTTTTTATTTAAAAAAGAAAGGATACCAAATCCAGATTGACTCCTCAGAGGTAAGATTTGGAATCAGGTGCATCCAGGTCACCTGAGGTTAGGCTGAGGACCGTGTTTCCCCAGGTGGGCGGGCTGGCGACACCCCCAGACAAGACCTTGGTGTCAAGTGAACCTATCGGAGGCCCGGACGGTCCCCAGGCCAGGTGTGTGTGCGTCCTGAGGCCTGGGAAGTCTTGCTATGGACAGAAACAGACTGTGAAGTTTCTCCAGACTGCGAGCATCAGGAAGAAAGGAACAGCATGAAGCTTCTGCTCTGCTCTTGGCAGATGTCCCTTCCCAACTTGGTCGCAGACCCGGCTCTGATGGTGAAAGGAGTGTCCCCATGGTACCCGAGTCTGGGGCAACATGTGCCCAGGTCGCGTGGCCTTCACCTGCCTGCCCAAGCTGTAGCTTTGTGCACCTGCCCTTCTGCCGCCGCATACTCTGAAATCTGCCATCAAAGAGAGGTGCCAGGTGTGAACAGTGCCTCCTTAAACGTTTGCTTGTAAGTAGACCTTTGGTCAGAGGCCAGGGACTGAGCCATGGCTACGGCTATAAATGTGAATGATCTCCAGGCACATTCTCTACCCCTGACTTAAGGGCGGCTTCCTCACATTGTAAATTATTAGGCATTAGTTAGTGGCCAAATAATCTTATTTCTAGCATTCAGTTATTTACAGTCACTTCTTTTTTTTGCAGAGACCCGAGTCAAACTCATAGTTTATGCCATAAAAACTGCTGATTTATGTACTTGCTAAAGGTACCTTTTGTATCTGCTGTATTATAGCAATAAAGGAATCATTTTGTTAGGAAAAAAACATCAGCTGGTATTCTTTCACAATTCACCAGTCTGATACAAATGTCCTCTTTCTCTTGAGTTCTGCGTTGTACCCGTAAGAAGCTCTGCGCTTGGGTGAAACCTGTTCTCTGTTCCCTATCGGTAAAAGAAAAAGCAGCTCCCTCTAGGGGTGGAGAGCGAAGGAGCGGACAGAAGCACTCACCATTAACAAGGTTATTCACTTTGTAGTAGGCAGGATTTTCCGAAATGTCAGATTGACCCGGGGAGCCAGAACCTTCTTTCGGACTGGGAGACTGTGGTACCAGTGAGTGTTGGTCGGGTGGTTCATCATGAGTAGGCTGCCGTGGGCCAGCTGGAGCCTGACCACTGCCAGCCTCCGGGACGGGTGCTTCCCCCGGGAATCCTTATGCCGGAAGAAGAAGTCTCTGCAGGCCCCAAAGGAGACAGAGGCGATGGGGCTCCCGGGAGCCAGTTCTCTCTCGTCATCCCTGTGCTCACCAATGTGGTCCTGGCCGTCTTTGTACCTGCAGTGAGAAAACGAGCAGAGTTCATGGAACAGTCCTCTCTGGAAACACGCCACCCACACCCAGAGTCCCCGTGCGCCAACCAGGAAACGGTGCCGCAGACCCAGGCTCCTGCAGGGGCTGAAGGGCTGAAGCAAGCCTTTCACCTTGTTCTCAGCCCTCTTTGAACAGCCCACCGATAGGGCATTCCCTGGTGGTCCAGTGGTTAGGATTCCACACTTGCACTGCACGGCCCAGGTTTGGTCCCTGGTTGGGGAACTAAGATCCCATAAGTCACATGGCCAAAAACAAAGACCCCCCACACATGGATAGAGGCCAGACACACGTCTTTACAGTCCCCGATTCATATTTGTGAATCTTTATCACGTAAGATGCCTTCTCTCTATGACTTAGAATAAAACCTGCATTCCTCGCCTGGCCCCTGCCCACCTCTGAGTTGAGCTCACCCCACACCCCTCTTTCCCTCATACACTGTTTTCGGGCACCACCAGTGGGATTTCCACTCCACAGATACTCCAAACTCCCTCTGCTCTCCCTGCAGAGGCCTGTGGGGCTCATGTTCCCTTGATTCAGTTATCAGCTCAAATGTCACCCCTCCATGACCCCTCCTCTAACCATCTTCCCCTAAACCCCAAGTTCTCAACCAGGGCAATTCTGCCCACCCCAGGGGCACTCAAGTGATGTCTGGAGACATTCCTTTGCTCCAAAGGGACCCTTGAAAAAAATGTACAACCTAAAAGTTGAAAACTGTGTTTCATTCTGCAGACAGAACTGAAGACTTAAGTTCTGGAGGCGGTCTCTCAGCTCTGAGGGACTGCCCCAAAGAGATAAGGCAGGAGCCAGGATACAGAGGGGTTTTGCAACAAAAACCAGGTAGTCGGAACGGCAAAAAATGATTGTTAATTAAAGAAAACCAGACATCACAGATTAATGAGTTCAGTATTTTCTATGTAAGGGAAGATGCAAGAATCTGGGCTCATTGAAATCATCCCTTTGACATGCACCTCAGCAATCTGGGGCCAGTATCCTGTTCTTTCCCAGGCCGAATGGTGCACCATCGGAGGCAGCTGCAGTGGCCGCGGGCCTGCCAACAGGTGTGTCTCCATCCTGTGTTCCCTCAGGGCTCACTGCTGGGGGTGGCTGCAGCGGCCCTGCATCCTCTGTGTGCTGATACGGCTGGCAACCATTTCTCATCCACAGGGAGCTCCTGGCATCCGGTTGGTGGAGGTCAGGGATGCTGCCCAACATCTAACACCGCAGAGGTCAGCCCCAGGAAGAGGATTATCTGACTCAAAGCATCGAGTGCTGTTGAGAAACCCAGACTCCTTCCTCCCAGATGTTCTTAGATCAGCCTGTTAAATTTTCTACAAGACATTTATCAACGACTGAAGGTATCCTGTTCACCTGTTCATCAGTTCTCGGCCTTTCCCTCCCCCCCAAGGTGCACGCATGTGTGCTCAGTCACATCTGACTCTGTATTCCCACAGTCCATGATGTCATGGACCCCATGACCTCCTCAGTCCACGGGATTCTCCAGGCAAGAATACTGGAGTGGGTTGCTATGCTCTCCTGCAGGGGATCGTCCCAGCCCAGGGATCGAACCCACATCTCCTGCATTGGCAGGCGGCTTCTTTACCACCGAGCCACCCGGAAGCTCCCCCCGCCCCTGAGGTTGAGCGTGCCATGAAGATGAAATGCTTGTGCTGTTCACTACTAGGTCCCCCACCTACACTAAAGAATTATTTGTTGTATAAATGAGTAAAATACAGTGGAATCCTAAATTCTTCCTTTTGGAAGAGACAGAAGATTTATAAAATCCAGTCCATGCTCCTGGGGGGGGCGGGGTGGGAAGGTAAAGACAGAGTGTCACCTGTTGACGAGCACAAAGTTGAAGGTCTGTCCAGTCACCAGAGAAACACGATCCCGGACACGCTCTAGAATGGGGATCCAGGGCTTCGGAGACAGAGTGAGGCCTGAAAAGGTGTAGGTCAGCCCAGTGTCGCCGTACGTTGCCTGCTTCCTTGGGACACTGTGCCACTTCCCAAACACCTGGACCCTGGCCAGCGCACCTGTGCAGGGGGAACAGGGCAGGGCCTGAGAAGTCTACACTGGCTCCCCGAGCATTCAGGAACGAAAGTACAACAGGAATAACATCTACCACTCTGGCTGAGGACCTCCTCAAAAATGACTGTGGCTCACCCAAAGCCTTCCCGTGAGGGCAGTGATTCTTATCCAACACAGAGAGACAGCCCTAGTCCAATTTAAAAACAAAAACAAAACACTGGAACTTCATTGCTCAGCAGAGCCAGAAAAACGAGACTGCAATTGGAGCAATATGAAGTTTGTTTACATGCTAGCACAGTGATGCTACCAACTGTGGGGATGAAAGGGTGTGTGCAACCAGGGAAGATGGCAGTAACGCAGCTCTCGAAGGAGGCTGGGTATCCCACGGGCGTTTCTACACTGCCCCGTGCTCTTCTGCCCTGCAGTGGTTCTCACTGTGGGTTCCAGCATCAGCAGCACCGGAAACTCTGGACAGGAGACTGCAGGGGGCAGGGCCAGCAATGGAGTGCTCACAAGCAACAGAGTCCTCCAGGTGACGCTGAGAACTGGTGGACAGGAACTACCTGGTAACTTCCCAGCTCTCAGCAGACAGGCAATTCCTGTTATTAAGTTGGTATCTCAAGAACCCAGTAAGGTGCTTGGCCCAGAGGTGCCAGGAGTATGTATTAATCAACAAACTCACCCATTATTCAGTTCAGTTCAATCGCTCAGTTGTGTCCGACTCTTTGTGACCCCATGGACTGCAGCATGCCAGGTTTCCCTGTCTATCACCAACTACTGGAATTTACTCAAACTCATGTCCATCGCGTCAGTGATGCCATTCAACCATCTCATCCTCTGTCATCCCCTTCTCCTGCCTTCAATCTTTTACAGCATCAGGGTCTTTTCAAATGAGTCAGTTCTTCGCATCAGGTGGCCAAAGTACTGGAGTATCACCTTCAGCATCAGTCATTCCTATAAATATTCAGAACTGATTTCCTTGAGGATGGATTGGTTGGATCTCCCTGCAGTCCAAGGGACTCTCAAGAGTCTTCTCCAACACCACAGTTCAAAAGCACCAATTCTTCGGCGCTCAGCTTTCTTTATAGTTCAACTCTCACATCCATACATGACTACTGGAAGAACCATAGCTTTGACTAGACAGATCTTTGTTGGCAAAGTAATGTCTGTGCTTTTTAACATGCTGTCTAGGTTGGTCATAACTTTTTTTCCAAGGAGCAAGCGTCTTTTATTTCATGGCTGCAGTCACCATCTGCAGTGATTTTGGAGCCCCCAAAATTAAAGTTTCTCACTGTTTCTATTGTTTCCCCATCTATTTGCTATGAAGTGATGGGACCGGATGCTATGATCTTAGTTTTCTGAATGCTGAGTTTTAAGTCAACTTTTTCATTCTCCTCTTTAACTTTCATCAGGAGGCTCTTTAGTTCTTTGCTTTCTGCCATAAGGCTGGTGTCATCTGCATATCTGAGGTTATTGATATTTCTCCCAGCAATCTTGATTCCAGCTTGTGCTGGAATCTGTTATTAATGGCTCTTAAGTTCAGATTTCTCTAAACACAGACCAGTAGTGTGTTCAAACCAGCCTTCCACACACAACCCCCCCATCCCCTGCTTACCTGTAAAATATTCCACTTCTTTCTCCAACTCTTGGAAAATCTCGTCTGCTTCAGCTTTGCCAAACAGGACTATGTAATCGCAGTCCAGGCCCTCGGCTCGAATGTGCCGCCAGCTGAGGCCTGCCAAGTCAACTCCATTCCCCGGGGCTGCTCTCCTGGGCTTTTTCTTGCTGTTTCCTTCCTCTTCTGCCAACCCTGCTGGACCTCCTCCAGTCTGCTCTTGTTCCATCCTTCTCTTAAGGCCCCCGACAGCCCCCTTCACCAGGAATCTGTCCATCTTGTCTCCACAACACGAAGACCTGGGGGCCGGTGCCCAGGCCAAAAGAGATTGCCCGGGGTCTGTCCCAAACGCCAAAATCTACTCTGCAAAGTGGTTCCACAAGGGCATTCCTCCTGTTTTTAAGGTTCCACTTTAAAAGTTCAACACCAAGTCCTATAAAGGAAGTAAGAGGAGGTTAAGGCTGGAAGGATCCCTCAGAGGTGATCTGGTCAGGGATCTCCCACAGCCGGGTTGGTATCACAATCAGCTGCCTAGCTTGCAAAACCCACGTGCCTGCCACCCAGCGCCCCCAACATAGGAACTTTTAAGAAATAACTCCCCCTTCCCCGCCCCCGGGGAATTCGAATGCCACTGGCAAACTTGGAAACTACTATCCAAACCCTCACTTTATACCTGGGAAAGTGACACGGTGAGAGGAGGAGGGGTTTGCCCAAATTCACCCAGAAAAGTATGTCTGTCTCCCCCTGCCACCCTGCAAAGGACGGGGTGGATAACTGACGGGCCCTCCCACACAAGTATTAACAGATTAAGTATTGCGATCTTTAAATGGACATGATTCAGAATCTAAATGTTTAACAACGGTTAAAAGTGGTCATAAGCAAGCACGCCGAATTCTGATAGAAAATAAGAACTGTAATACGTGCGTGGAGTGGTGGTGCCGAGGGTTTTCTTTAAAATCTCAGCACCCGCTAAACTCCAATTCCTGTAGACACTCCACAAAGGGCTGGCGCGGGGAAGAGAAAACATTTACCCGCCCCGACCACAGAACTGCTTCCGGGTAGATTGCAGCGGCGATCTGGAGAAAATCTAAGCAAATTTGCAAAACAAAGCCGTGGGCGGTCTTCGGGCGCCACCTGTTGGCCCTCCAGGCGCGTTGCAAGCACCACGGTGGTGCAGGGTCGTTACTTGTTTCGCAGCTGTGCGGGATCACCAGTGGTTTGGGAGCTGTTGGTTGACGTCATCTCTCCCTAGGGATTAATTTGATGTCTCGACAGGGAGCAGGGCCACCAGCATATTGTCATAGGTAGGAGCACGAATTCTGCAATCAGACCCTTGTAACTTCCACTTCTGTCTCCTCCAGTGAAGCTGTTGTGGTTCCTACAAATCCCTTAACATCTCTGGGCTCTGCACAGTGGAAACTACAAAACCCATGCCATGAGGATTAAAGAGAGGATGTGTGAGACGATGCTTCTGTTCTCCAAACAAACGTCAGCTTTCATCCTCACTGGTTTTTTGATTATTTTCTCTCTACAGTTCCTTCACCCACTTGCCACTTGAGGGGCATTTGGGTTGTTTCCAGTTTGGGGAAAATCTTGATATGGTCACTATATCTATTCATGTACAAGCTCTCCTGTGAATATAGATTCTAATTTCACTCAGGTAAATAGGAATGGGATTGCAGGGGCACATGGTAAATCTATGTGTTAAATGGGCTTCCCAGGTGGCGCTAGTGGTAAAGAACCCGCCTGCCAGCGCAGGAGACATAAAAAACACAGGTTCGATTCCTGGGTGGGGAAGATCCCCTGGAGAAGGAGATGGCAACCCACTGCAGTATTCTTGGCTGGGAAATCCTAAGGACAGACGAGTGGATGTGTTACTTTATACAAAACTGCCAAGCTGTTTTTCAAAGTGGCTTTTATGTTATTATTTTTAAAAATAATTGAAACGGCTGGAGACAGAAATAAGCAAGGATCATTTTTGGGGCGAGGGGCGTGCATCATGTGGAATCCTATTTCCCTGATGAGGGATCGAACCTGTACCCTCTGCACTGGAAGCACAGAGGCCTAACCACTGGACGGCCAGGGAAGTCCCTAAATAAGATCATTTTGGATGAAGCTATAAATAGTGTCCGGCTAGAAAGTGGGGCAGGGAAGGCTCTTCAGAGGACGGGTGTCGAGTAGAGACTTAAAAGTTGTCCAGGCAGGGGGACAGCGCCCGCAAGGTGTAAAGGCCACAGGAGGGACAAACTGGGGATGTTCCGTGACTGTTTTATTATTATTATTAAAATAAAAAATTGAAGTATAGTTTATTTGAATGCTAATTTCACTCCCATAGCAACCCTATTGGGCGGGACTTTTAAGTTCTTTTTACTGGCTGAAAGGTGGCGGGACTTGCCCAAAGGAGAGGGACGGTGGCTGAGAATAAAGAATAAAAGGGTCAAATAAAGAGCTGAGCGAACCAACCTAAGGAACTCCGCCCTTTCCAAACACAGTTCGAAGCCCCACTAGGCCCCAGGGCTCTCGCTCCGGAGCCCCTCCCACACATGCGCGCTGGGGCCTCCGCCGCCCCCCGCCCAGAATCCCAATCGGAGCATGCGCGAGCCGCTTGGCGCCAACTGTTGACCACCTCGGCTGGCGCCAAACTCGCGGGACCCCGGGCGGTGTGCGTTGGCTGCTACCTCGGCTTCGGGATGATCGGCCAGAAGACGCTCTACTCCTTCTTCTCCCCGAACCCCGCCAGGAAGCGAAGTGCCTGCAGTCCCGAGCCGGCCGACTCGGGGACGGGCGTGGCGGCCGTAGCTCAGAGCGGGGATGTGGCGGTGAGGAGCGGTTGGGGGCGGGGGGACCTCTCGTGGGGCCAGGGGTCAGGGAGGCCGAAAAGGGTGAGGGGGGTGAGGAGGGCGAGGAGGGCGGCGGACCACGCGAGAGGGACCCAGACCGAGGGGATTGCGGGAATGTGCAGCTGACTGGGTGAACGCGGGCCGCCTCCACGTGTTCAAAACAGCCGCCTTAGCGCCCCATCGGCGGCCATCCTGAGGGACCAGCCAATGGCGGCGAGCCTCGGGGCCCACGCCGCCAATCAGAGGCGAGGGGGCCGGCCAGCCTGCCAATCAGGGGAAGGAAGGGGTGGGCCCCGGAGGGGAAGGTTTTGCCGCGAAAAGACCGCGTGGGGACGCCAGTGGCCAGGCCCGAGGGGGCGGGGCGGGGCGTCCAGAGCCCCATTCCCAGCCAACCCCTCGCGAGGCGCCACGAGTCTTCCTCACAGACCCTTCTGCTCCCGCGTTGTTTCGGTACCAAACTCGAAACTAGGGGCCGCGGCCTTCTAGTGCCTGACCGGGATCAGTCCTGGGTCCCCGGGGCTAAAAATCCCCACGAATGGGGGTCCTCTGCCCCGGGCCGTTGGGTTGGGGGCGGAAGCTGCGGGTGCCCGGGAGGGGCCCGCGGCAGCTGGTGAGCCGCCTCTGCGGGGACCACCTACAGGCCAGCCCCGCCAAGAAGCCCCGGGCCGGGCCGGAGGAGCCGGGCACGCCACCCTCGTCGCCGCTGAGCCCGGAGCAGTTGATCCGCATCCAGAGGAACAAGGCGGCCGCGCTGCTCAGACTCGCGGCGCGTAACGTGCCGGTGGGTTTTGGTGAGAGTTGGAAGAACCACCTCAGCGGGGAGTTCGGGAAGCCGTACTTCATAAAGGTAAACTTGGAGGCTGTGGGCGTCTTGTGCATAGAGCGGGCCAAGCCCACGGTTAGACGAGATGGCTTTTGTGGCTCCTGCTTTCCCTCCTTCAACGTTCTTTTCATGCTCAGGGGGTAAAATACAGTCAAGGTGTTTTCAATCTGCAGTTTAAGGTTTTTAAAAGGGTGTGAGATGATATCATGAAGCTTCTTTTAAAAGTTTTTAAAAATAGTTTTTAAAAAATTAAAAAAATTTTTATTGTCGCTATTTTTATATTTAAAATTTTATTTTTATTTATTCTTGACTGCGTTGGGTTTTATTTTTTTTTAAATTGGAGTGTGGTTGCTCTACAATGTTGTGATAACTATCACAGCTTCTACTAACCGGTTTAGTTACTTAGCCTGCTCTCAAGGAAAGAGTGGCGAAGTAAAACCACAAACTCCACAGACTAAAATCTGGGTTTTAAAAAAAAAAAAAAAAGAGGGAGGGGTTTGCACCCGCGGGAAATCAGGGCCCAGAGCCAATCAACTTGGACCCAGCCCACAGGAAGCCCGAGGGAATTGAAAGGTCGGTGGAGTGCGGGGACTGTTTCAGATTTTCCCAGCAGAATTTGGGTATAGGACTTGGAAAAGATTTAGGTAATAGCTCTTTCCAGTTGAAACTTTGTGATTGAATTCTTATGCTTTCCTGTGAGAATTTGGTTTGTAAACCTAGTTTATCTTTCCATCAGCTTATGGGATTTGTTGCAGAAGAAAGAAAACATTACACTGTTTACCCTCCCCCTCACCAAGTCTTCACATGGACCCAAATGTGTGACATAAGAGATGTAAGTACAAGTTGTGGCTGAATTTTACTAAAATTACTAAAACGGGAGTAGGATTCAAATGGCATTTCTTAATTAGGGGCAGTGGAGTTAAACCACTATTCAAAATTTAGAAATAACACTAAAATTGTGGGGTTTGGCAGGCTACCTTTTACTGTGTGCCATTTATGCAACAAAAAAAGAGAAGTTTGTGCATAGATTATGTGCTATGACTTCTGTTTTTTTTTATTTTTATTTTTTTAGTTTTAATTCTGAAACTGACCCCATGCCCATGTGAGGTATTACTGTGGTGGTGGGAGAACTAAGGCAGGAAGCAGTTAAGTGTCTTTCAGCTGGTTCCCGGCAACTCCACCTTGACTGGTAGTTCAGTCTTGACTGGTAGTTCTTTCTGTCTCACCACACTGCCTTGTAGCCGACTTCTGGCCTGAACACTCCTGTTGAAGACATCTCTTTGCTTTAGTTCATTGTGTACAATGCCTGCTCATTGGGAGCTCTGATCACCTCAGACTCCTGTTCAGAAGCTTGATTGTGCCTTTACATAGTTCATAGCAAGTTCACAGCTGAGCGTGAATATAGACACATCCTGCTTTCCAGCCTCATCTCCACCTCCTATTCTCCTGGTTTGGAGCTGGACCGGGTAGTGACTCTCTCCTCACTTTTGTCTTTTGAAAACCAATTAGATCCGTCTCTGGCACCTCCTGGAAGCAAGCCTGTCCCCCCTTTGTGATGTGGATTTCCTCTAAACCTTCAGTATCTGCTTGCACTGGAGGTGTTCTATTTTTTGTTCTCTTTTTTTCCTTACTGATTTTATAAGCTGAGGGTGAGAATCCCACGACTTAATAAGTGTCTTAAGTCAAAGAGAAGCGAAATTGTTGAGGAAGCCATTGTGATAAGATTGCCACTCCTGTGCTCGCTTCGGCAGCACATACACTAAAATTGGAACGATACAGAGAAGATTAGCATGGCCCCTGCGCAAGGATGACACGCAAATTCGTGAAGCGTTCCATATTTTTATGTTTCAAGAGAACAGCATCAAAACATGTATATTATCTAGGGTGAAACAGATCACCAGCCCAGGTTGGATGCATGAGACAAGTGCTCGGGCCTGGTGCACTGGGAAGACCCAGAGGGATTGGGTGGAGAGGGAGGTGGGAGGGGGGATCGAGATGGGGAATACATGTATATCCATGGCTGATTCATGTCAATGTATGACAAAAACCACTACAATATTGTGAAGTAATTAGCCTCCAGCTAATTAAAAAAAGAAAAAAAAAAGATTGCCACTCCTAGAACTTAGCAAACTTCTTAATTTTCATTTTCAAGCAAGTACTTATCTCCTTGTTTATAGAGTTTAAAAAAAAACTTAAGTCCTGTTAAATTCAGTGCTGGGTTGCCCCTTGTTCGAAGTATGTGCTGTTTTGACTATCAGTGAGCAATACTGTAAAGAAAGTATAAGAAAAGAGCATGAAACTTATGAGGATCAGATGGCCCCGGGGGGCTTCTTTGCCTTGAGCCTATGGAGGGCTGGGATGTTAACCTGGCTCCGCCAAGGCCCTTATCTAGGACAGGAATGGGAAAACTGTGCTGCTGAATGGGTTGCTTCACAGATATGCTGGGGCCCATGTGGGTACCAACCAGGGGGACAGAGAGGTCCATGAAAGCGGACAGGTCCAGTCTGGATTCTGAAGGATAAACTGTACTTCAGCTATCAAAGAAGATTTTAAGAAGGGACATGGCAGAAGTGTGGGTATGAAGAGAGGTGGGTGGGCACCCATCAAAAGGCCAAGTAGTGTGTAACACCGACCTTGACAATGACCTCAGTCTCCTCTGGGTCCATCCCTTAAGAGGACACAGGCAGACCTCGTTTTGTTGCACTTCACAGATAACTGCGGTTTTTACAAATTGAAGTTTTGTGGCAAGCTTTCACTGTCAAATGATGGTTAGCGTTTTTTTAGCCATAAAGTCCTTTTTAATAAGATCTGTGCTTTTTTTTTACCGCATGCAGTTGGACAGTTCGGGAACCAGAACATTTACATGACCTGTTTTATTGCCATATTCGCTTAATGAGAAGCTCTGGAATCAAACCCACAGTATCTCCTTGGTGTACCTGTACAGGGGAACAGGCACCTTCATAATGCAGCTGGTTGGGGATGGGAATTTCTTTTAATTTGTCAAAAAGCTATCTGGCATATGTCTGAAAATTTTAAATACACTTATCCTCTGACCAGCAACTCCACTCTTCTGAATCTATTCCATAAAAATAAAAGCAACAATGGGACTTCCCTGGTATCCAGTGGTTAGGACTTCTCACTTCCAATACAGGGGGCACAGGTTCCATCCCTGGTTAGGGAGCTGTTAATAAGATCCTGCATGCCACAGAGCATGGCCAAAAAATTAAAAAAAAAAAAAGCAACAGTATGTAAAGATACATATAGTAGGATGTTTACCTCATTGTTTTTTGTAAGGGAAAAATTTGGGAAACGACTGACTGCCCGTTAATGATTGAGTTCTATTGACTTAAAGGAGGCTCATGACGTATGACATGAGAAACACAAAAGCTGTAGAGTGATGAGTCCAGTGACCTTCATATATAGGTGATTATAAACAGTTGGATCAAGATGGGATAGAAGTGACCGCTTGGTATGTTTCTGGATGGTCATACTGTGACAAGGGCGTAACTCCTTTTATAATTTGAAAAACGAAGGGGATAAAAGCAAAGTTGATCCCCAATTGTTTCAAACATCTGGGTCGGAGAAGGGAGGGGGGCGTTGCAGCAGGTGACTGAGGGCAGGATAACTTGATAATGCAAAGTCACGGTGCCAAGTCACACCTCCTCCCTGCCAGAGGCCCTGGGTGGGATGGGGCGGGGGCTGCCCTTGCCCTCACAGTGTCCCGTTGTGTGAGTTGGCAGCCAGTTGTCCGCTCGCACTGCTGGTGCCACACTGATCCTCGCCATCTGGTGTTCACAGGTGAAGGTCGTCATCTTGGGGCAGGACCCGTATCACGGACCCAATCAAGCTCATGGGCTGTGCTTCAGTGTTCAGAGACCCGTGCCGCCCCCGCCCAGGTAGGCAGGCTGTGAGGGTGGCTCCAGTCGTGTGACTGCTTTTAGATGCGTGCTTTGCAGGTTACAGGTGCGCCTGTCTGTGGGACCTCCCCTCGCCTTTGGAGCAGGATTTCTCTGCTGGCCTTTGGGCTGGGTCTTTGTTGTGGTGGGCGCTGGGGCTACCCTGTACGATATTCAGCAGCACCCCTGGCCTGCAGTACTGCCCCTATTTGTGATGATAAAAAATGTCTTCAGATGTTTCCAGAAGTGCCCCGGAGGGCAAATCACCTCTTGTCAAGAACCCCTACTTTGGAGGATTTCACATATCATTTGTAAATATAATAAACTTATTAAAGATATAAACTTTAAACCCATTGGTTGAGGGTGGTGGTAAATCTTGGGCTAATTTGCTGGGTTTTCCAAAGTTTTCGTCCCTAAACCCTAGCAGTGACTGAAGTAAAGGTGTTCAGCAGGTGTGCCTATCGGAAGGAAGGAAGGGCCGCCCGCCCCGAGGGCGGGCTTTGCAGGCCATAATTTGCGTGTGTGCTGGTGGGTCCTAAACTGTCAGAATGGTACTTAAGATTCTGGGGTTTTTGTTTTCCTTCTGGCTTGCTTTCAGTTTGGAAAACATTTATAAAGAGCTGTCTACAGACATAGATGGTTTTGTTCACCCTGGTCATGGAGATTTATCCGGATGGGCCAAACAAGGTAAGCTAACCAATGCTTGATGTGTTTTGGGTGGATTTCAAGAGTCTTCTCTTTTCTGTCTGGCCGGCTTATATTTTTATTTTTTTTTTAATTTATTTAGTTTTTTCAATATTAAGGTTTATTTTCTTTTTCCTCCAGAGTGAGGTTAAGTAACAACTTAAATAATTTTCAGGATGTATAAATGAGCATCCATTCGGAAAGAACATTACTGCTTAAAAGTGACTATCTAAGAAATATTTTGCATGTAATAAATATATTCTATGTTTAGGTTAACAGGCACCATCTCGAGAGCAAAAAAGTTTTTTTTAACCAATAAATAAATTACATTCAAGAAAACAAAGTGTTTCTATCTGAAGTATGATATATCCTTAAATGTTTTTCTTCATATAGCACCCAAACTTTCAAACTGTCTAGAAATAGCTTCTAAATATAACGCATACCTTAAGTCGTACAAATAAAAGGCAAAAAAAAATCAATTTAGGACAAAACTTAGTTTATATTAATTCCCCATTCAATAAAATATCAATTGCCAATTTATTAAGTGAACTGTAAATATGCAATGTTAGTGCTCAAAGCTGAAATATATATTTTTAAAAGTCACTCTTTCTCAAAGTATTTAAAATATTGCATCTCTGGCGGCAAACCTGAAAACTATCATTTTACTTCTCTGGTTTTCATACTTCCACTCCCAAACTTCCACTCCCAACCCTATCCTTTAATTCTTTAACAGCCAGCCAGTTTGTTTCCTTTTTTTTTTCTTTTTTTCTTTTTGGAGTAAATACAATATATCCCAAACACAAACACTGACAATACTCCTTGGTAAACAAGGAAATCCCAAAACAGTCCAAGCCTATAGCTTCACTCCCAAAGTGTGGCACAGGCTAAATGATAAGGAAAAAAACAATCAATGGCCCTTATTGATGCAATCAGAATGCTCCTGAGAGTCCACAACTGTTTTGAGAATTTGCTGATGTAATCCTGAAGAAAGTTTCAACACATTTTGCAGACAAATATCAGAGAATAAGTCTTTGATTAATAATTTTTCTATTTATTTCTGCCAAGGCAACTGAAAACACGAAAGCCTTTTCATCAGAGAGGTTAGCATAGATGTCAATTTCCTTTTCCTGTTTCTCTCTTTCTTCCTCATGTTTTTTGGCAGATGCACTTTTAGGTCTTCCTCTTCCTCGTCTGATATGATCTGAATGGCTGTTACTTCGAGACCTCTTTCTGTTCTCTAAATCTTTATTTACTGTAGAATTTATCTTCTCTCGCCTAACTCTCTCTGTTCGCCTCCTCTTGGCCTCATGCTTGTTTTCTGTAGAAGATGTGATTTTTCTGGGTGTTTTGCATTTAAAAGTTTTCTGCTAATAAATACGTAACCACAGGGACATGATTTACATGCAACAGGAACCTGTTGGTCGCACTCGGGGCATGATTTGGTGGCCATCTTCACTTTCTTAGCTCGAGTTGCAGCCATGCTTTTCTCAGGCGGTGGAGGTGGCGGTTCGGGCTCCTTATATTTTTAAACCCATGTGGAACTAGAGAGCTCTAGTAAAGCGGCTAAGTTTAAGTCAAGAAATGTATCTCATCCTGCAGTCAGTGTTTATGTGTAACGTAAAAGAGAAAATTAGTTCCTTGGCATCCATACTTCACATTTATCTGCTTGGACCATTCAGAAGGCAGCCTCAGTTTTCTCATTTCGATACATGACTTGTGTTGTGTGTGTTTAATACCTATATACAGGACTTTTTCTTTCTTTCTGAACAAATAAACTATAACCAGGAAAAGGAAAGAATATTTACTGTTTGTTTTCTTGCAGTGAGAGTTTTGTTTCAGCGAAATGTCTTGGCTTTCTTGTGTTAAATTCTGAGGTTATTTCCTGTCACTTAGGATATATATGCATATATTTTTTAAACAGTTCTTTTCCATGTTGGACAGAATGTATGATTGCACACTTGGAAGGTGTTGAAACTGTAGAGGTGAAAATAAATGTCTCCCAGAGGCACCTGCTGACCCTGTCCTGATGCTACCTGGTTCTGTCATGCACTGAGCTCATTATTGGGTTTCGGGGCTGACTCATTTCGGCCTCTTTTTTTTTTTTTATTGGTGTATGGTTGGTTTTACAGTGTTGTGTTAATCTCTGCTTTATAGCAGAGTCATCCCATTATAAGACTCTCCTTCAGACTCTTTTTCATTTTGGTTTGTCACAGACATTGGTACAGAGCCCGCTGTGCTCCGCAGGGCCTTGTTGCTCGCCCATCATATGTATAACAGTTTGATCTGCTGACCCCAGACTTCCAGTTTACCCCTTCCCCTTGGCATCCGCAAGCCTGTTCTCTGTTATCTTTGAGTCTGTTTTTGTTTCATGGACATGTTCATTTGTGCTGTATTTTAGATTGCACGTTTCAGCCTCCCTGGAAACCGCTTTTTCGCTGTGTGTTCGCAGGTGTTCTCCTGCTCAATGCTGTCCTCACGGTCCGGGCACATCAGGCCAATTCTCATAGAGAGAGAGGTTGGGAGCAGTTCACCGACGCCGTCGTGTCGTGGCTCAATCAGAACGCCCACGGCCTTGTCTTCTTGCTCTGGGGCTTTCACGCTCAGAAGAAGGGCAGTGCCATTGATAGGGTATGTTGTGTGGGGTTTTTATTTTTTTAATAGTTTAAACCAGGCTAGAGAATTCTAAGAATTCAGTTATGTAGTCCCAGAAAATCCATTTCTTAAAATGAAACTTATTTTTCCTTACAGCTATGATAGTATTAGGTTTCCCATCAAAAATTGGACAGAACTCAGGGACATTGCTGGCAGTCCAGTGGTTAAGACCTCTTGCTCCCAATGCAGGGAGTCTGGGTTCCATCCCTGATTGGGGAACTAAGATCCCACATGTCACGTGGCGAGGCCAAAAAAAAAAAAAGCAAGAAGGAAAACTGAACAGACCTCAGATGAAATGATTAGTGGTGTAATGAGGAAAGCAGTTGGCCAGCTTCTGCTTAGATGCAGTTGATAACACTGGCGTAAACTTGCCATATACATGGAAAACTACAAAACTACACAGGTCCTTGGATTCCATTCATGTAACAAACGATGCAGTAAATGATGAGTCAGGTAAGTCTCTTGCTTTCAACAAGTTTGAGGGTATATAGAAAACATGAAGAGTCCCACTTCAGCGCAAGTTTAACTTCCCCCATGAAAACATTGTCAGTGCTCTGGTTGCCAGTCCCTGACACCACTAATTCAGCTCTTCAGTCTCTGCCCTCCCCGCATCCTCCCCCAATCTGTTCCTTCCTTCTCCACTTACTTACCAAAGCACCCATGCATACCCAGTTACTGTGATGAAAAACCAGAAGTCATCCTAAAAAGTTAAGATCCCACGCTTCCACTGCAGGGGGCTTGGGGTTCCAGCCCTAGTCGAATCCCCACATGCGCCTTGACCAAAAAAAGCCCACCCAGAAGTCATCCTCTAGTCCTTTCCCTCATGCCTTTAACCCAGTCCTAAAACCACCCCGATCCTGCAGCCCCTCTGGGCTGAGCCCTGGCGTTGCTCTGGGATGCCTGTCACGGACTGCAGGTGAAGCTGGTTTGACGGAGGCTGGAGACTGGTGGTTGTGGGGCCGGGACGGGGGGCGGCATGCCGGTGGGCAACAAGGAGGAGTGCTTAGCTTGGGCTGCTGGAGGCACCGAGTTGGGCAGTGACGCTGGGTGAAGTCATGGTGTAGACACTTCAGTAAGTGAAGTAAAGGGACAGACCAAGACGGCCTGGCAGTCGGCGGTGTGTCAGACGTGCAGCACGCTGGGGCCCCGGCCCGTGTTGAGCAAGCCGAGCACTTATGCAGTGACTCACCTGATCTTAGCAGAGGCACGGGGGGTATACGGACTCCCCTTCGCACCGGCTCAGGGAGGCGAGGTCGCTTGCCCACTTGTGAGTGGAGCTTCTGACTCTGATCTGGGCATCCCGCTCACCTGGGTGGGCCTGCGGGCGAGGGTTCCAAGCCAGCCATCAAGTTCAGGTCGAGACTGGACTCTCAGGTCATTTATCCTCTCCATTTTCTCTGAAGTGGAGTTCCATCTTAATTTTTCTCTGTAAAGGTTTTTTGTGAATGAGCAGGATATTTTCAGGTATTTTTATTTTGGGGAGGGAATAGTAGGAATAAAACCCGGCATAAATGAACTGACGGCTCAGTAAGGTCTGCTTATCTAGGTAATGAAATGTGTATAGGAGTCATTTCCAGTCTGTGTCGGAGGGGAGGTTTGTGGTCAGAAGTGCCCTTACCCAGTATATCTGTAATCTGTAGTATTAAATATGGTTCAGTTTGAAAGTAAATAAGCACACATGTTCTAGATTTCTCTCTTCCCCCTTCTCCCTCCCCTTCCCCCCCCCCCCCCCCCCCCCGCCACCGCTCATGGACACACCAGCCATTCACAGCCTTTCTTCTCAGCCCCTCCCCACCTGCCCACCTTAACCTCATACATCTCATCTTGTCCAGAGCGCTCAGACACCTCCCTGGAAAGCCTTGACTGGGGTCACCAGCTGGGGTCTGGGGGTGGCCTCAGCCTGCCTCTCAGCCTCTGAACTCCAGGCCCCCTGAACCACCTGGGTTTCTTATGGGCGTCCCACTCCCCTGCCTGCCTTTGTCCAGCACGTGGAGGTCTTTGTGTGGCCCAGGCTGGCTGCTGACTTGTCCTTTGGCGTGCACACAGCTCGCGTGTTGAGGGACCTGTGCTGAGCACCTGGCCTGCACCCCTTCCTGATGCTCTGTGCACAAGACCCAGCTTTGTTCTTCATGGGATCTTCCCGGTTGTCACTGCTTTACTCCCAGGCCCAGGTGAGGAGCGGCCTAGGGATGGTCAGCGACTCCCTGGAGGGTGCCCCTACTCCCGAAGGGCAGGGCCAGCACCTGGATCCAGCCTGCCCGGCCTCCCCAGCCCCTCCTGGACCAAGCTCCCTGAAAGCAGACATGTCTTGAAAGACAGTTACTTGCTGGGTGTTGTGTTAGTTGCTTAGTCGTGCCTGACTCCACGCGACCCCATGAACTGTGGCCCGCCAGGCTTCTCTGTCTGTGGATTCTCCAGGCAAGAACACTGGAGTGGGTTGCTGTTGTACTGCCCTCCTCCAGGGAGTCTTCCCGAGCAGGGATCGACCTGGCATCTCCTCCACTGCTGGAGGATTCTTTACCATCTGAGACAGGAACGACTTTTTGGGTGATTTTTAAGTTAAATACAGGAAAGAATCAGGAAGAAAACAAAAATGGTCCAGGATCTTCCCACTCAGTTAACTACAGGTGGCATTTTAATAAGTTTTAAGTATTCTGTTTTTGTGGTGAGATGATTGAAACAGCAAAGCAAGGTACAGAATGGAAAGGAAGTACCTTCCACTCCTTCCCCTAAAGGAACTACTCTAATTAGTGTCTTGGGTCTTATCTGCTCCCCCCTCCCCTGGAAGTTTTTTTTTTTTTAATGCATTTATCCCTTCCTATCTCTCTTTTTCCACTTGTGACAGATTTCAGAGGGCTCCTCCTGTCAGCATGTGTAGCTTGACGTTGTTCTTCTAGTAGCTGTGCGGTGTTGCATTGTCAGAACCTTTAGGAAAATGTGTGTGATCTTCTGCACACATAGCACTGGGTTTACAGCAGGCTTCACCAGCTAGGAGCCGCGCAGCTGTGTCCCTCCTCATCCCTGCATCTTTGTGGAGATGCATGCACCGCTGAGTCCCTTACCAGAGGCAGTCTCAGCAGTGGGACTGCTGGGACATCCCACACAGAGTGCCCAGCAGAAGGTGAAGAGGGAGGGGTCTTCTGCTTTCTCGGAGCCTCCTCCCACGGTAGTGGCTGTACCAGCCATTGGAGGATGAATGCACGCACAGACCTGTGCAGAAGCTGCAGATTTAGAGCTGGCACAGTGGAGCGGAAGAGCTGATGGGAAGGGCAAATGCCAAGCGGTTTGGCTAAAAATCCCAAATGTGCCCCCACGGTCTCACTGCCCGTCTCCTCCTCTTTCAGAAGCGGCACCACGTACTGCAGACCGCACACCCCTCGCCGTTGTCGGTGTACAGAGGCTTCTTCGGATGCAGGCATTTCTCTAAAACTAATGAGCTGCTGCAAAAGTCCGGCAAAGAGCCCATCAACTGGAAGGACCTGTGACCTGGATCCTGGGGGGTGATGTTGATCCTGGGGATTGGGGTCTCTGAGCAGTTTTCTAGAAGCTGCGAAATAGAAGTATTGGTTGTTTATGAAGTCGAAATAAGAAGAAAATCTCCCTTATGATTCTTAAGCACCCTGCACAAGGGAATGTGTTTCAGGCGGAGCAGCCATGAGCCAGGCTGCCTGGGAGTGGCGACTTTATTCCGCTAGAGATAACTGGACCGCACCAGCTGTGGCTCAGGCTCCCCGGAAGGGACCTGAGGTCGAGTACTGACTCTCCCCTTTGCTACCACCTTCGTGGCCAGGGCGGGGAGAGAAGCCCCTTCTGTCACAGCCAGCTGCTGCTTGTTTTCACCTGAACGGTTAGACTTTAGGCTTGGGGATGCTGACTGTTTTTATTTGGAAAGGCCCCCTTTGCCTACCCTGGCATTTCAGTCTGATCTGTGGTCTTTCATGGAGCCCTCAGGAAGACTGAGGATGTTTTGCCAGTTCCCAGAAATTAGGGATTGATTTCCTGCCTGTAGTAGAGGTGAAAATTGCTAAGGAACCATCCTTGGTGTGAACTTTCAGTGAATAGAAGCTGGGAAAAGCAAACTTGGTCTTGTTTATACAGTAATTCTTCAGGTGTTTCTAAGGAGTAAGCTATGGAGGTTGAACATGAAGCAGAAAGTGTTTTTAGGAGGAAAGAAATGCTTTCTTCCTGGGTACATCCTGAGTTGAAGTTTTTGAGCCACCGAAGACTGCCAGTGCTGTTTTTTCATTTAGAGGGGCGGGGGTGGGACTGAAATCACTTTAGGATTTTTCTTTTCTGCAACACTGGTGAATTTTGCTTTTTTAAAAAGATACACAGATATGTATATATATTTTTAATCTTTTTAAGCGACAACCTTTATTAGGTGTGCACCTCCATCCCCAGATGACACAGTTTTGCTGTAAGCTGGGTTTAAAGGGTTAACCCGGCTGGGTTTAAAGCTGCCTGAGTTTGATAATAAAAGACTGTTGAAGTTTCACTTGTTCCTAGTTCTTCTGGGTCCTGGGCGGATGCCCTTGGACTACTCTTAATCTGGGGTCACCATGGCAACCATTGTGGGCAGGAAGGGCCATACTTGCCTGTGTTTCCTCCTTTCTCCCACCCCTGCCCCACTGCCTGGCAGCCTCGGGAAGCCCTGGGCCTCCTGAGAGAGGCTCAAGCCGGAGGAGGTGAGGCGTGCTCAAAGCTGGGCACCCCTCCCCCCAACCCCAAGTAGCACCCTGAGCGCTGTGGAGCGTGGGTAGGGGCTAGATGGGATTGGGATCTGCTGGGACCCTCAGAGAACCTCTTCGGGCTGGAAAACATATTTTTCCTGCTCTTAATGTTGAGAAAGCAGCCATGGATCACCAGGCATTTGAAGCATGTGCAAGTCAGAGGCCAAGATGGCAAATAAGGCAAATGCACTGGAGACTAGTTGCTGCAGACACAGATTATTCTAGAAGAAAACATCAGAAACTGCTAACATTGATCCCTGTGGGGAAGCAACCTGGGTAGTTGAAGGACAAGAGGGAAGCAGACTTCCTACTGAACTTCCTTTTGAACCTGTAAAATTATTTTAAACTTCGTTCTCATTTACCTTTCAGCCGGCTTCCTCTCATGTTTATATTTTACTGAACCACAGTACAGGGACCAAAACCAGGAATCAAAACGGTACAGGGGCTTCCCTGGTGGTTCAGTGGTAAAGAACCTGCTCGCCAGTGCAGGAGATGCAGGTTCGATCCCTGGTCCCAGTAGGTTCCACATGGTGAGTACCAGCTACTGATCCCACGTGCCCCAGAGCCTGTGCTCCGAAACGAGAGGAGCCCAGGCGTCAGAGTGGCCCCTGCTTGCTGCAACTAGAGAAAAGCCTGCACAGCGGCGAGGACCCAGTGCAGCCAGAAAAACTTTAAAAATGCAGTTACGTTAAAAACGTTTGTACAATGCTGCCTACTAAATATGAGCTTTATTCAAATTTCTCATTTTCCCAGGAATGTCCTTTCTGTAACCGGATCCGGGATGTCACATTACACTTTGCTATAATGTCTCGTTCAATGCTGGTCTGTGACATGTTCTCAGTCTTTCTCTTGATTTATCAATTTATACATTTTTGGCAATAACACAGAAGCTATGTGCCCTTCTTGGTATACCATCTCAGGGAACTGAGATTACTTTGTTCCACATGGACTTGTGCCTGTGGATTCCAGTGCATTCTTGCTCCTGGCTGCCTCAGATCTGTCCCGACACCCTGGCCCAGGGCTTCAAGCTCCAGTGTCAGACTCAAGGTTATAGCCCTCCAGAGACAGCTTACATTAAGTAACCCCTACAAATCACCTAGCACTTCCCAGGTGGCACAGTGGTAAAGAACTCACCTGCCAATGCAGGAGATGCAGGTTCAATCCCTGGTTCAAGAAGATCCCCTGGAGTAGGAAATGATGACCCATGCCAGTATTCTTGCCTGGAAAATTCCATGGACAGAGGAGCCTGACGGTTTACCATGGTGGGGGGGCAGTTGCCGGTGGTGGGGGGTCATAAAGAGTTGGACACAACTGAGGGAATAACAACAGACCACAGTCACCTAAGTTCAAATGCCTGTGACAGATCCCTTACCCTCTGTGGCTGGCTGTTTTTGCTTGAACCCTAACAGAGGAGGGACGTTGGTTCAGAGCAGGTGGGTCCTTAGAGCTCAGGGCCTCCAAAGGCCGTCAGCTTCAGCGTCCTCCCAGCAGGCCTGCTCCAAATCCAGCTTTCTCACCTGCCCTGTAGCCATCAGTGGAGGAGGAGGACAGACCCTCCCCAGGCTGGCACTGACAACAAAAAGCTACACCTCCCTGCTGACCCCTGGGCCAAACAGGGAAACTGATCATCAACCCTACACAACAACCAGATGCTCTGCCACAGGGGGGTTTTGGTATAAACGGACCTCTTAGAACTGGGGTACCCTGGGGACAAGGCTGGTATGGGACTCTGTGGGTGGAATCATCCACTCCCCGGGAGGAGGGTTTGGGCTGCAGCATCCAGGGTGGGACACTGCTCTGGAACTCAGTTGGGCAAAGAGCCACACGTGAGCTGGGCTTGGTGATGGCCCATCTCTGCGGCTTGGGCCTTGGGTGGCCACCAGGGGACGCTGAGGCCACGCCCAGGAAGGCAGCGATGTCCTCAGGGGTGTCAGGGTGGCTGGGAGGTAAGAAGAATTCTGGGTAGAGGAGCCAGAGTCTTCAAGGTTGAGCAGGGCAAATGCCGTGTGCGAGGCAGCTCACTGTACCTGCAGCAACTCTGTGCTCTGGCCCCATCTCCTCCCCCTTGGGCAGCTGGAATTAAGAGCTGCGTTAGTGTCACCTGGGGCCCCCGGGGGGACCACAGCATGTAGGGTGGGGGGCCGAGGGTGGCAGGTCTTGGCCACTTGAGGATTTCTGTTACCCCTCCTCTGCTTACAGATCATGTGACCCACCGACCCCAGTTCAAGCCACAGCTTCCCCATCTGTACAATAAGGGGGTGGGCTGAAGGGTCCTTCAGGTCTTAGTTGCAGCACATGGGATCTCCGTTGCATCGTGAGGAATCTTGCTTTGCAGCACACAGAATTCTCTAATTGTGTCCCTTGGGCTCCAGAACGCGAGGGCTCAGTTGCTCCGCAGCATGTGGGATCTCTGTTCCCTGACCAGGGATCGAACCTTCGTCCTCTGCATTGCAAGGTGGATTCACAAGCATTGGACCACCAGGGATGTTCCTAGTGTTTCATTTAATCTTCTCAACCACGCGGTGAAGTCATTAGATGAAAAAACAGGCTTAGCCGTTTGCCCAAAGCCACAGGTGACAGAGCAAGGATTCAGAGACAGATCAATTTGATTTCAAAGCCCAGTAGTCCTGCCACTACTGACCCTCTGCCCAGATCATAATTTTTTGGAGTCATTAGGGAGGGATTTTCAATGGAGTGTTAAAAAGTTTCCCTGAGTTACAAACGGCTCCCCCTGGAGACATCAGAGGACTTGTCTGCATTTAGAGAGATGGCTCTTCCAAAGGCTTGTATGAGCTCCTGTGGAGTGAAGTAGTCTGGGTAAACAACCTAAGCACCGTCATTGGCTGAGTCCTTGACCTGCATTTTTTTTCATCCCCAACTCCAGGCTCCCTCTGATGATATCTAGGCTTCAGGAGAACCCGGGCAGCACGCAAGAAATACGCTTCCTCCTTGTAAGTCCACTGGAGAAAATCCCATGAAATTCACTATTTGATAACTCTTGCTTCTTGAAAAACATGTCCAGAAATGAAGTTGCTCTGGCAGGGTGAAGCTGAAATCATTTGTGCGTTAGTTCAGCGCCCTTACTGGTTTTTCCACTTGCCAGGCCATTTATCTTTTCTCAGAGCACAGTGGAATGCCCTTTTGTGTGGCCTTAGCTCTACCCGCCCCCCCACCCCCAGCTCTGGCTCGGATCTGGAAGTGACCTTTGTTCTACAAGCCTCTGGGCCCCCTCCCTCCACACACCCCCCCAGCTGTGGAACACTCTGTAACCGTGGCACAGAGCCAATTTATGTCTTCTCTGCCAGTCCCTGAGACAGCCACCTGACCCTGCATGGGAACGGAGCTATTTGGTTTTGAATTTTCTTCCCCTGAGTCCTGAAAAATAGGAGACACTTCATCAGGTGGCATCTTTCTTCAGAGGGTTTTTACAAAATCTCTTGCGGGGAGAGAAGCCAGGAGATCTTTTGAAAGTGATCGTCTTGAGCCTTCACTGTGGGCTTGTTCCAGAAGACATTTCATGAACACCCCACGACCTGCTCGGGGTTAATTTTCCGCATGTGTCAGGAGGGCCAAAATGACTTTGTATTGCTGATGGCAGCTTGGACTTTAAACGACCCGTGGTTGAGACATCTAGGGATTTTGAAATAAAGCGAGGAATGGGATTTAAAAAAGGGGACAGAACTTTCCCCCCTCCGCCTGGCTTATGCCTGCTCTTCAGAGCCTTGGAAGTGGAGTGCCCTGGGGATATTTTTAAACAGCAGGAGCTAGTTCATTTGAAAGTGACATTTATAGTCACCGCAATGAGCAGCTGGCTAGCTGACATTCAGGTCCTCAGCAAAACGGGAACCCAGAAAACTCAGCCTGGATGCCCAGTTGAAAGGACATGGGGAAAGGAAAGAGGCAGAGGTAAGTGGTAAGTGAGCTCTCCTCTCCCTGGGATCACTGACCACATAGCCAGTGTCCAGGTGGACAGAAATCCAATGCGTAGCGAGGGCAGCCTGCGGACGGAAGCATGGCTGTCTGTGCGAAGCTGATGGAAAGGGCTGGAAATGCAATGGAGATGAAGGGCCTTTCTTTGCTTCTATAAATGGTTGTGTTGCTGGGGATCCCTGTGCAAACTTTTATCAGAGTTTAGGTTTACCTAAAAGGCAAGGGGGGAAATTTTTGACTCCTAAAGCTTCTGTCTTCAGGAAGAGGATTCTGTTTCCTATAGATGTCTGATCTCTCAAACTTTTTTTTTTTTTTTAAACGCAGACTCTCAAGAGTCAAGCATTTCTGGTGTCCTCTGTGGCTAGAAAGACATGATTTTGTTGCAGTTTTAAAAAGCGTAGTACCAAGGAAGTCTTGAATCAGCACGTAGTAAAACAGGGCGCCTCCTTGAACCATCCTTCGGTCTGTCTCGCCTACTTCCAGGGAGCCTTACCTTTAACAATGCCCGTGTGTGCATGCTCAGTTGCTTCCGGGTCTGACTCTTTGTGACCCCATGGACCCCATGACCCCGCCAGGCTCCTCTGTCCATGGGATTCTCCAGGCAAGAATACTGGAGTGGGTTGCCATGCCCACTCGGGATCTTCCCGACCCAGGGATCGAACCTGAGTCTCTTACGTCCCCTTCTTAGGCAGGCAGGTTCTTTACCACTAGTGCCACCTGGGAAGCCCCTTTACAGTGCACAGTTTAGTATAAAACTTCCCAGAACTTATATCCTTCAGACTTTTTGTTCTGAACATGTACTGTGTTCTTGATCCTCTCTCACGTCAGCCATGACTGTTATTTTGACACACACAGGCATGACTGAGGGGCAGTTCCCAGGAAGCAGGTCTTTCTCAATTTAAACCTGGAAGGCATAGACATTGTTTTCTAAATAATTTTTGCTTCTAACAGTGTCTTGGGACATCTTTTCCAAGATGTGATTTCTTTACTGACCTCTCCAGGTTTTAAATGGAAAGACCCAGCCCATCCTAAGTCAGGTGATCAGAGTTGCAAGCATCCCCATATTGTGACTTTATTTGAAGAACTCTGGGAAGGTGTTTTGTGTTCATGCAAAAGAGTTTTATGTGCCCCTGCTTGGGTGTTGTGTGAACTCCATCAGCCTCTTGTTACCTTCAGATCTGAGATAGAAATTAGAGTATGACTTTATACCAGATACTTGATCTTTATGGGAAAATAAACACTTTAATTAGCCAGTGCAGGAAACCCAGGTTTGATCCCTGGGTCAGGAAGATACCCTGGAGAAGGAAATGGCAACCCATTCCAGTATTCTTTCTTTTTAAATTACACTTGTTTGTTTTAAATTGATTGATGATTGCTTCACAATATTGGTTTGATTTCTACCATACATCAGCATGAATTAGCCATCGGTGTGCATATGTCTCCTCTCTCTTGAACCTTCCTCCTAACTCCCCACCCTTCCCCGCCCCTCTAGTTTCTTACAAAGTCCTGGTTTGAGTTCCCTGAGTCCTACAGCAAATTCCCATTGGCTATCTATTTTACATGTGGTAGTGTATATGCTTCCGTGCTCCCCTCTCCATTCATCTCACCCTCTCCTTCCTCTCCCCCGCCCTTGTCCACAAGCCTGTCTTCTATGTCTATATCTCATTGCTGTCCTACAACTAGATTCATTAGTACCATCTTTCTAGATTCCCTGTATATATATGTTAATATATCTGTTTCTATTTTTCTCTTTCTGACTTACTTCACTCTGTATAATAGGCGCTAGGTTCATCCACCTCATTAGAACTGACTTGAATGTGTTCTTTTTTATGGCTTAGTAGTATTCCATTTGCGGAGAGGGCAATGGCACCCCACTCCAGTACTCTTGCCTGGAAAATCCCATGGACAGAGGAGCCTGGTAGGCTGCAGTCCATGGGGTCGCTAAGAGTCAGACATGACTGAACTACTTCACTTTCACTTTTCACTTTCATGCGCTGGAGAAGGAAATGGCAACCCACCCCAGTGTTCTTGCCTGGAGAATCCCAGGGATGGGGGAGCCTGGTGGGCTGCCGTCTATGGGGTCTCACAGAGTCGGACACGACTGAAGCGACTTAGCAGCAGCAGCAGCAACAGTATTCCACTGTATATATGTACAACATCTTCTTTATCCATTCATCTGTCGATGGACATCTAGGTTGCTTCCATGTTCTAACTATTGTAAATAGTGCTGCAATGAACATCAGGGTACATGTATTTTTCTCAGTTTTGGTTCCTTGGGATATATGCCTAGGAGTGGTACTGGTGGGTCACACGGTGGTTTTATTCCTAGTTTTTTAAGGAATCTCCATACTGTCTTCATAGTGGCTGTAACAATTTACATTCCCACTAGCAATATAAGAAGACTCCTTTTTCTCCACACCCTCTCCAGCACTTGTTGTTTGTGGATTTTTGGATGATGGCCATTCTGACCCGGTGTGCCGCTCCATTATTCTTGCTGGGAAACCCCATGGCAAGAGGAGCCTGGCGTCTGCAGTCCCGGGGGTCGCAAGACTTGTACATGACTCAGTGACTGTGTGTGTGTTCTAATTGCTTCAGTCATGTCCGATTTTTTGTGACCCCATGAACCATAGCCCGTCAGGCTCCTCTGTCTGTGGGATTCTCCAGGCAAGAATACTGGAGTGGGTTGCCATTTCCTCCTCCAGGGGATCTTCCTCACTCAGGGATCGAACCTGAGTCTCTTTTTAAGTTTCTTGCATTGGCAAGTGGGCTCTTTACCGCTAATGCCACCTGGGAAGCCCATTAACTACTCAGGTTCTAATCAGTAGGCTGGGTGCCTTAAATCTTGCTTTATGTATTTTTAAACTTTTTAGTACAACAAGTGAACTTTTTTGGGAAACACATTCAGAGGTAGAGTAAATAGCACAGCAAGCCCTACGCATTCACCACCCGCCTCAATAACAGTTGACCTTCTGCTCTTCTAGTTTCTCCTACTCACACATATACCTTTTCCTCCTGTATTTTCCTCCAACAGTTTATTATGAATATTTTCAGACATACAACAACATTGAAAGAAAGTTGCAGTGAGCACTCATACCCCCAACACTTAGATCCTGCCATTAACAGTTTATTATATTTGCTTCATCACATGTCTGTTCCTCTATCTACACTTTTTACACATTTCTTTTCTTTGGCCGAGATCTTAGTTTCCTGACCAGGGATTGAACCTGGGTCCCCTGCATTGTGAGTATGGAGTCTTAACCACTGGACCACCAGGGAAGTCCCGTACACATTTCTTAGAAATTGTAGATTTCAATACCTTTCCCCTTGAGTACTTCAGTAACTTGAGTTGCTATCATTAACTCAAGTTCTGTTTCTCTGGAGTATTTCAAGCAAATCTCAGAACCAGACAAATACTTTAGTACATTGCTCCAAAAGAGATGAGGACTTTTTACAAAAGCAATTGCCAGGACTTCCCTGGTGGTCCAGTGGCTAAGACTCTGCCCTCCCAATGCAGGGGGCCCAGGTTCAGTCCCTGGCCAGGGAACTAGACCCCACACGTCGCCAGCAAGAGTTTGCAAGTTGCAGCTAAGACCTGGCGCAGCCAGTTGAATAGATAAAAATATAAAGTCATTGCTATGATTATCTACCTCCAGCGCAATTAACGCTGTTTCCTCTGTCCAGTATCCAGCTCATGCGCAATGTCCTCTGGTCATCTCAAAGATTTTGTCTTTGAGGTTGTTTTGTTCAATTAGGATCCACGAAAGGTCCTAGCAAGTCTCTTTTCACCTGTAGTAATCACTACCCTCCTTTATTAAATGCCAGTTGCTTATTGAAGAAATGGAATCATGTGTCCTGTAGAATTTTCCCCATGCTGGATTTGGCTGATTAAGCACCCTCAAGGCATCATGTAGGAAGCTTCTCGGTCTTTCTTAATAAAGTATTAAGTCTAGAGGCTTGAATGAACTCAGGTCCAAGTGCAGAGCTGTTGCTGTGTACTTCTCATTGTGTCCTGTCGAGAAGAACAGAATGTCTGATCATCCCACTTGCAGTGATGTCAACTCATCATAGAGTCTGGGGATAACCTGATCTCCGTTGTGAAATTCCTCTTCAAACTTTCCCCAGATGGCTTGACAAGTCACCGATGGTCGGAGCCTAGGACATTATTGTTTCATTTCTGGTTGTGAATAATGGTTTCCTATTGCCATCAATCGTTCTGCGTTCATGAGCCATCCCTGTTCTGTAACTTAGAACTTTCACCCACCGTTTGGTAACCTTGAAGTGTACAGGGTCTTTTCCTACAGCAAAGGCAGGATAGATGCTCAGTCACATCCGTTTTTTTGGTAATTCAGTTTCCAAAGCAATAAGCAGTGCCACGGCAACCTTCCACGGTGTCAGTGAGGGGTGGGTTTTGTGTTTGTTTTCATAACATTATGACCTCATGATTTTTTAAAATATCAATATATTTGACGTATTTCAATCCACTGGAATTGTCGTCTTATTTTTTTGGCCCTAAGTATCTTTTCTTTGACAGGGAAGGCGATTCAGGGTGTACCTCCTGTGTCTACATGTCTGCCCCAGCCTTGGAGTCAGTCATTTCTCCAAGGGGTCCCGGTTCCTTTTAGTGGGATATACACTTAGAAATCATAATCTGGACATCAGGGAGGTTTGTGACTGTATGACATGATTCCCGTGGTTGCTCTGTTAGTAATGGACAGGAGAGACATGACTGGGGGCAGGTAGATGGGTTAGGAGGCTGGTACACTGGTCCACGTGAGAGAACTGTAGCTGGAAGTTGGTCTTAGGCAGAGCACTTAGCACAAGGCTTGAAGCATCCTGGGAGATGCAACGAATGGGAAATGCATAAAAGAAACATGCTTTCATGATTTGCATTGTTTGTATATTAGTGAACTGAAACCTTACCAAAACTCTCTGAGGAAGGCATTCTTACTGTCAGGCCAGTGTAAGATCCTTGGTTT